CAAAGGCAGCAGCGGCTGAGGGTCGTGGTGGTATCATCCACTTCGAGATCATGCCCAAGAACATCAACAAGGTCGTGCAAGCGACCGAGGCTGTCGAGGGTGATCTCGGCACGAACCTGAAGCAGCTCCTACCCCTCGTCAACGAGGTTCCCGAGAGACCGGAGTGGCTCGGACAGATTGCCGCCTGGAAGGAGCGTTTCCCATGGGCCTACGAGAAGGAGGGCGAGAACGGCCTCATCAAGCCACAGACCGTCATGGAGAAGCTCTCTGATCTCACAGCCCACCGCAAGGAGGAGACCATTCTCACCACCGGTGTCGGCCAACATCAAATGTGGTGCGCCCAGCACTACCGCTGGCGATACCCACGCACCATGATCACATCCGGTGGTCTAGGAACCATGGGCTATGGTCTCCCCGCCGCCATCGGCGCCAAGGTCGCCCGCCCAGAATGCACCGTCATTGACATTGACGGCGACTCCTCCTTCAGCATGACCCTGACAGAACTCTCAACCGCCGCCGAGTTCAACATTGGCGTCAAGATCATCATCCTCAACAACGAGGAGCAGGGCATGGTCACACAATGGCAGACCCTCTTCTACACTGACCGCTTCGCGCATACGCACCAGCGCAACGCCGATTTCGTTAAGCTCGGTGATGCCATGGGTGTACAGGCTAAGCGCTGCATTAAGCCTGAGGAGTTGGAGGACAGCCTCAAGTGGCTGTTGGAGTCTGATGGCCCGGCTCTGCTGGAGGTTGTTACCGACCAGAAGGTGCCTGTGCTGCCCATGGTACCGGCTGGAAGTGCGCTGCACGAGTTTATGATTTACGACGAGAGTGAGTTTTACAAGTCGCGTGCGGTGTTGAACATTGCTAATGATAACGCAGAAACTATCAAGGACCGCAGAAAGCAAACCAAGGAGCGATCAGGTCGTTAAGACTTGTTCCCCTTTGTTCGAGTTGTTTGATTCCCGTGTAACTTCATTCGTTGTGTATATTCTTGGGTCGGGTCGGTACCGGCGTTTTTCTTTTAGCTTAGCATATGTTTGGTTGGTTGCACGCATGCAACTTGGTTTCCATCGACGGAAAAGTCAAAAGCGAGATATCAGTCTTCCTTAGTGGGATCTAGTAAGAGGTGGATGGGAAGAAGAGTGGGATGAGAAAGTGGAATACCATTTTTTAACTGCATGTGTCCTGTTGTCGGTGGTTGCGTGGGGCGCGGGTAGGGTGAACGTGGTACCAGTTCGAAAATGAAGATTGCAAGGACGCTGACTTGATGAAATGGCGAGTATCTTCTTGTGTGAGTGATGTTTGGGTTACCCGTGAGTGGTCTCGGTATTACCTTGTATCCACCTTCTTTTGTCGCAGGACCATGGTATGCTTCGAACCATAACTTTTCATTAATTTCAGATTCATATAAAGGTTTCGAAAAGAATGCATGAGTTCACACCACCCATCCCAAACACATTCAATTTCAATTTCAATATCACATTCACACAAAAAGCCTTCATCTACACACCCATCCAGCACCCCTGGAGTATACAAAGCCACCACACCACACATCCCACTGCCACCCACCACCACCCACTACAAAGTAGTCATGGGCTCAACAGCAACATCGCACTGCTGGCGCGGCCGCAGCACCTCCATCATCTCCAACCTCCCTCTTGCGGAGTCATCTGAAGATATGTTCGACTTTGTATTTGGCGACCAAAAATATCCATCGAATATATCTTCACAGTCGAGTATGGCGGTGGTCTCTAGTCTACCGCGTAAGGAGGTGTGTGAAGTGGGGATTGGCAATGTAGTCTGCAAACCGGAATTTGCGTCGAATATATCTGAAGCGGAGAGTATGTCGGTATCCTCCAACCTACCTCATGCGGAGTCGATTGAACCGGAAAGCGACGGTGTAGTCGACAAACCCCAAAACGACATATCCATCTTCGCCACGCCCCTCCCTGAGTTCGTCTTGGAACAACGGCAACGCCGGATTTCGAAGGAGTCAGGGGAAAGCACACGCTCAAACGAGCCGCAACCTCCCTCGTGCACGATCATAGAAGAAGGACGGGAGTGGTATGGCTACCGGGACGAAGGCATTCATCAAGCAGCCGCGATGTTCGGTGTGACTGGGCCTTGGATTCGTCCGAGCAGCGGCACCGAAGACGTGGATGGTATCAAGGGAACTGAAGGAGAAGGCAAGGGGGAGGGGAAGAGGGGGAAGCCGTTTTGGCATGGGAATGGAAGGAAGGTTAGGGTGCAGGAGAGGTGGATGTGTGTTGGAGGTGATGAGTTTGGTATTGTTGATGAGTTGGTTGTTGTTGATGAGGGTGTGGAGGGGGATGGTGAGGGGAGTGAGGGGAGTGTGGGTGGTGGGGATAGTGAGGGTAGTGTGTTGGGAGGTGAGGGAGATGGGGGAGAGAGGAGGTGGTGGAGTGTGAGGTGGAAGAATATTTTTAGGATGTTGGGGTGTGGTGTTTTGGCGTAGAGATGGGAGTTTAGAAATGAATATCGCAAAGTAACATTGTCTACATTAGTCTATGCTACATGTGTATTGCGTGAAGGGTGTGTAACTGAGTTGATGGGAGAGATAGGCGTGAGCCTGTGATGTCTTGTGTAGTGGAGTGTATAGTGTCGATATGGAATGAGCGATGTATTGTTGATCTTCGCTGTTCGTTAAGGCCTGTTCCGCTTATCGCGTAGGGAGATGTGCAATTACGGGTCGGAGGACGGCGTTCTTCACATGCTGGATGATGTGAAGGTTGATATTCGAGCGAGTCGCGAGCTCAATGTCTGGTTGAGAATTAGTAAATGGTTCAATATCTGACGAATAGTCAAGGCAGTGTACCTTGGTCGTCGAGACGGTTGATATGGCTAGTTTGATTGCGACGCCTGAAATGACAAATGACAGCAAGCGAAGGAAGTAGAGCGATGAAGAGAGCAGCTATTGCGATGATGGCTTCAATCGATAGCGTAGACATGATTTTGCAGTGGATGCAGTAAGTGAAGGTATGCAGTTGTGGGTTGTGTGGGATGTAAAGGCCATGGGTGCGTGGGGGTTGGAGCCGTTTTGATCGTATCGGAAGAGCCTCATTGAGACGTCGTAAGGCACAAAGATGAATCCATTAGGTGTAGACAAACTCCAATTCCGCCGCCGGCCATCGTGAACGAGGTCTGGATTGGTCGGAGGGTCCGGATCATGACTTCGCCTTCTTGCGGGTTGATACTGCATAAGACGTGGTTGATCGTTATCCAGTGGATGAAGACCGCCGACGTTGGATTTACGAATACAGACTGGAGGGTACCAAACTTGATAAACACACGGTGATGGCGTCATGTGATCTCGAGTCCTCCTCTTATCGATGGGGGCGCAGATGCGGCTGTGGCTGAACGGCCAGCGCTGTGATTTGACGACGCTCTGAGCATACGCAGCTCAATGGGGAGATCTGACGAATCGGAAGAAAAAGGAAGCGAAGATGTTGGTGATATCAAGCAAGGTGTGATGGGCTTGGTCGCACAACAGATTCCATGCAGGCTGCTTCATTGAGCGGTGTATAGGGAGCCGCTTGTGGCTTGCCATGTGCACCAATCGCTGCCAGGCTGACGGATCCCCAATGCGTCCTGCAACTCAGAACTTTGGCTACGCGACCGCCGAATCAGCCCTGTGACAGCGCTTGAGTCGTCTTGTTCGAAAATTTCCTCAGTGACAATGCTCAGGTACGGAGCCGGCAGAGAAAACTGCCAACCTAGAGATGATGTGCTTCGGCTTCCCTGCTATCGTGACGGTCTCTATAGCCTCTTCCTCTTCTGCGTCCTGGTCTCATCGCGATTGCCGTGAATGTCAATGTTGGGTCGTCATGCGTACCAAAGCAGCTTTGATGGATTGGTACAAGGAAGTTGCGATGACAACCTTCGAAAGCTTGTTGCGGTCGTCCAATGAACGTCTCAGAAGCAGCGTACCGGTTCGGGTCAGCGCCACAAAGCCATTACGTACATGTTAGCTCAGCCCTGCTGACATTATACTCATCCCATTCGCTCCTGAGTTGGGAGGCTACCGGCGATACAGGTCGGTACGGGGCGGCCAGATGTCTTCGAACCATATCATGTTTCAACTGTCATTTTACCATTGTGACACCTTATTGGTGCTTCTCGTCCCGCGTTCGGCAACTACAAAGGTGCCTCCGCCATGTACTGCGCTGATCCGCCGTCGCCCTGTTGTGTGACCTCAGGGGAACCGGTTTTCGCAGGCTGGTGTAAGAAAGAATGAGGGAGTAAGAAGCAACAATGGAACTTTGTCGTTCCGTTCACCTATATCATTCTCTTATGTGTTTACACCTTGCGTTATCATTGATCCAACTCGTGTGATCTGTTCAAAGCTAGCTGTTCCGCTCATTGTGTGTACGGCTGATACCACAGGTCTGCGGAGAGATTGCAAAGGTCCGGGATGGCAGCGCATTGAGCGACTGGGACTATGTGAGAACGTATTCATCCCCCATATCAATCCCGTGGTCAATGGTGATCATGACTTGCTTCCCTGACATTTTCAAAGTATAGTGGGATAGTGAAGGGGATTCGTGTAAGGTGACTACACCCGCGGGTGGTTGCCTCGATGCATGAATGTCATATATTGATATATCGTCGCGTGGTCTCAATAAAGAGCGGTGTTGAACTGACGAACCAGACGGTCTGGACAGGGGCTAGCTCCTACGGGTACCTGATCGCACTGACGTCTGTCTGCTGCTCTGTCTGGCTGACTATGACCTGACGCCCGCGGTCACTTTTCTCGACGTTCAAAAAGAGTGAAAGAGCGCTCTATCAAAAACCATGACGCGGTGAAAGGGCGCACTCGCTAACGCAGACCTTTCCGCACGGTGCAAAAGCTTTTGACTCTCAACGATAGCGCACCAGTGTCCTCTCGCCGCCAGTCTCTCGCGCAACTTCCATACGCTGCAAGGCGCCTTGCTTCCGACCCGTTCATTGAACAGTTCACATAACCCGCTACCAGGATGTCGTTCCATCTGTTGAGCCAGGCGATGCATGCGAAAAAGGCGCCCGCCGCACGATCTGCGACCGGATACGGCTCATACGAAAAGTACAATTGTACGTGACACAGCAGTCTTTAGCAAGTCGTACCTAGCTGACAACGTTTGATAGATCGGTTGCCTAACGCCGACGAGTTGGCGAGCTCGAACATCGTCATAGAGATCAACCGCGATGGATCTGGACGAGTGGAGAAGTCGCGCATCCAACCTGTCGAGTCTTGTCTCGTTCGATCCAGGACTACCTACCCCCGGCCGGTCCTTACTACGACATGATGCAGTTCGAAAAGGTGTTCGGCAAGAATCTCATGAACAAATCGAACAAGTGCATCTCCTGCTGGAAACAGAAGCACGTCAACAGCCTCCGCGATTGCCGTCAGGAGTGCGCGCTATGTCGGACTGGTGATCATGTTGGAAGTGGATGTCATGCTCCGTACATGCCGATGACACTTTGGGAGTTACTTGGACACATGCCTCCGCATGGCTATCAAATCCGTCCCGAGGCTGCTGAGCAGGATTATCTCGTTCTCGCCGGCATCATCCATCTCCAGGAGAACAAGGCCTGGCCCATTCGTCCGAACATGGATCATCCGCTGGTGCGAGAGTTCTACGAGGGTCGAGATGATCCGGAACCACTCTTCAGGAAGGCCACCATTCCGGCGAGGGCAGACAAGACGAGTAAGACACAAGCGAAGCTGATTACAACACGCACAGAGACCGTCAACGAGACGGAAGCAGCGCCTGTTCTGGCGACTGCTTTACCGACTACAGGTACTGCATCCGTCGATTCCTCACTTCCTCACATCGCGAAGCCGAATACAGGGGCCGAAGTCAGCATCGAACAGGAGCAGGAAGAGCTACCCAGGGCTATACAAGAGGTTGTGGAAGAGGATATTGTCCTGGTGGCGGAAGGACAGGCGTTGCCGCCGACGACGGTTGAGCAGCTGCGTGGAGTAATCGCGGAGAATGATGCGAAGGTGGCAAAGCTAGAACAAAGGCTAGCAAATCAGGGTAAGGAGCTTGAAGAGGCGAAGAACCGGATTCGTGAATTGGAGAAGGTGGTAGAGAACGTGGAGTCCAGTATTGCGAACGAATCGAATAAGCAGGCGAGGCGTTGATGCATACGTCGAGAGCCGCGAGTACGAGACTAAGGTCTAATGGACGTTTGAGGTATACAGTAGTAGAACCCGGAGTTGGCCTTGATAGTACTAGAGATATGTAGTAGGAAAGACATCGTATAATGTCGCGAGATGCATCCTCTACGCAGACGTATAGCTCCAGGCATACGCGAAAAGGTGACCGAGATTTAGTGAAAATACATTGAAGTATAGCTCGCTGTGATTGGCACAAGGGGAATGAAGGAGCAAAAAGAGGAAGGAAGGGCAAAAAAGAGCAAAAAAGGGCATAAATCGAAGTACTCACAATTGAGCGTTCGCTAGTGGTCACCCACCCAGCTAATAGCCCACGAGGTCGCTGCTGCGATGCCGTTCTACGGGCTTCCCGGCAGCGCCTCTTCTTGTTTTCTTGATGACAATTAGTAGAATCTGTACCATTATGACCGCACCGCTGCGGTTGCCCCACCTCAAAGAAGACACTTTGACTACGCAACTCACCGTAACAATTCAGTAAGCGCCCTGATGTATGGATTGGGTGCGCCCAAATGTGGCGGTGAAAGGTGACGATGCGGAAGATTTAAGGAGGGAGAAGGGTGATGAAGACGTGTCGTCGGAACATCGGGAAGATGGCAACCTTGGTCTAAGTGCGCCTAGTCCCTTCCAGGGCATGGCGTCGGCACTTCCGACCCCGAAACTTCGATAACACGCAGATTTGAGATCGTCCGTCAAGCAAGCTGGAACGACTACTTCCTATCAAAGATCATTACCATCAGCCGAATGCGACACTGCGCAGTGGCTCAGTTGATCCTCAACACCACTTTGCGTGTAGGAAGAGTCCTGGAACGACGTGCGCGATCAGACCTCTCCACGACAGCACTTCCATCACCGGAATCTTTAGTCAAAACCGGAAGAGCTTCGAGACAGTAACGTGCGTCGCTTAAATGTCAATATCATTTATCCAGACCGAACTGAACGCGCGCTGTGCAGCCAGCGGGAAGAGATGGGGAAAGGTGCAAACGCATGTCGTTTTCCAATCCATTCGCGCCCGTGAAATGCGTAGAGTACAAAGTCGGTGGTTTACGGTGAGTCTCATGTACTGACTATGTTGACAACACGTATTTCACAGCTGTCTGTGAACAATGTCACTCATCACAGCGTCCACTTGGTATACAATCGCTCCAGTATGCCAGTTCTACTCACTACACCCGAGCGCCACCTCAGTTTCATCCCGACATGTTTCACAGACTCCTTCAAAAGATGACGTCAAATCCTCAAACCCGTCCGGTGGAAGATTTGAGCCCAGCTCCAGCCGCACATCCAAATTTATCACCGTTTGAGGAGCTTGCGGCGTCGCTAAAAGTAGACACGGGTAGCTCGAACGATGCGAAGCAAGTTGACTGGTGGCGCATCAGCAAAAAGTTCGAGAAGCTCGTTGTAAAAGGCGCCGAACTATCTAGACTGATGATCGCAGAACCATCAGAATCGACTGAAAGTGTATTCACAGCTGTGCAAGATCTCCAAAAATGGGGGTACGAAGAGGACGAATTTACGTACCCAGATACCGCAAAGGAATGGTTCTGCGACATTCTGTGGCTCATTGGACTAAATGGGGAATTTGATGAGAATGAAGGACCCAATTTTTGCGTCGGCCACCAACGCGAGAACCCGAAAGCGGTGGATGGTCAAGCCTGTGCAGCAACAGAGGCGTTGTTTTGCCAAGTCATTAATACCTCGGATGGAATTATAGTGGCGTATGACAACTACACAGCCCGAGCCATGACTGAAGAGTGCGGACGATGCTACTCACTTATCCCCAAATTGAAACACTGGTCGGATGTAGCGTATCTCCAATGGCTGTCGAAAGCCAACGAGACGTCAAACCTACGTTACGTACTTCGACACAACGTCCTCACCGATGTCACGCGCTTTGCCGTTACCTATCTAATGTTACAGGGCAGACTTGTTGTAAAAGAATGGCCGGGGACAACATACTGCGCAGGCTCAGTGGAGTTCAATGCATTATTAGGCTCACCGAATGGTTCCGGGGTCGCTTACCTCCTCATACAGCATAGGAAGGGACTTGGTCACAAGACTGTCGATAAGGTTACTATCTTCAAGGAGAAGTGGGATATCATGTTGCTGTTCCACATCACAGATGTTGGCGGTGACGATGCCGAACGCGTGTACAGATCGGAATGGTATAATTGTGTGGCGCTTGCTGGCATCGTGTACGACCCACGGGATAGATAGCACAATGTGAACAAGGACATGTAAAGAGAGAATGGAATGTACTAGGGCGTGATACTGCTAGTGGTGTACTTTACGATGGGTTACATGCTGGGATGGTCGCCGTAGACGTCGCACGGCGATGATCTTGATGTAATCTTGTTCGTACACCCCATCTCTTCCTCCCCATCGTCCATTGTGTCCATGATCAAGCTATGCGAGCACAGCGGATCGCCTGCACCCCGGACTAGAGTACGAGACTGGTTGACACCAAGCAGCGGCTCCGTCCATAAGTGACAAAGCGCAATACCGATATGTTCTAGGCAATGACTCTATATCCGGCGCATCGCATGATCAGGGCAGTTATTAGATCGCACGATGACGACTCTCAGACACCTAAAGATCATTGCGCAATGCAAAGATCTTACAGAAATGGAGTGAGCTACGCGCTATCCGTCAATCAGCCTCTCGAAGAGCGCGTGAGAGTCGGAGCCGGGGAATAGATACGGGTATATGTAACCAATCCTAGCAGGTTTCTCAAGGTATTGCAACCGCCTGATGATGGCGTGCATGCGATACCAAGTACCGACGTCTTCAGATGGTGTGGCGGATGACTTCCAGTTCGCGAGCATCGTACGAGTACGCCGGACGCTGAGACGGCCGCTGGTAATGAGGAAGCTCAGATCATCCCAGTCGATCTCGTGCTTCCAGCGGCAGGTAGCACCGAGCGGACAAGCAGAGGGTAGGCGGAAGGTGATATCGCACAAGCCCAAGTCGCACGTGTGGTCGCAAAGATAAAGCCAAGGCGACAGCCTGCCGTGAAGTGATCTTCCCTCGGGTGTGAGGCCGTAGTCATGCTCCGGTTTCCTTGGAGGAAGGAATGTGCGCCATGGGGGCTGCTCTAGCGATAGAAATCTGCCCTTTGCTAGTTCCTTTCCCGCCTTCCGTGACGCGGAATAAAGAGTCTTGAGCATCTGGATCTCACTCTCCGGCTCCGCTTCCGGGGCGGTCTCGGTGGAGCTGTTTATGATAGCAACACTATAGTAGCATTCGCCGTCGTTGGTGTAAAAGCGGAAGTGGTTGCCTTTGGCACATGTGTTGTCGATGTAATCATCTTTGAATGGGTCGCGGTCGGGATTATATGCGCTGCGTACTTCAGGTTCTGACATTTGTGAGCTCTCAATGTCTTTTCAGATGTGGCTCTAAAGTGTGTCTCATACCTGGCTTCCCAAAGTGGTTGGGGTGTCGTTTTTGGTTGTTCTTTTTAGACTCTGCGTCTTCGATGTTACTTCCACCTTTCCGGTTCTTTCTTTTGAGGAAGGTTTTGTATTTGGCTTTATTAGCCATCGTGTCTTATGTTCTCGCGTGTGTGAAAAGAACGAGAGTAGGAATGCTCGACGAGTGTTTACTGACTGTGCGAAAACCGTGCGTCTAGCGTGGCGCGTCGCTATACCCATTTGGACCATCCCATGTTGGCCCGCCAGACATGTAGAGAATGCATGAGTCGAGTCTGCATTAGTTGACACCTGACGGAATATCACGGGTGTTTTAATCGTGATGTCCATCAGGTGGCTCCAAGTAGCTTCAAGTATTAGAGGTTTCACTGAGATTAGTTTACTATGGCCTTCGACGCTGCGAGCAAACTCTCACCGAGTCTTGAAACACAGATAAGCACTGGCACAGAATTTTTGAAGTTTTAGTGACGGTTTTAGGTTGAACAGAAGATAAACAAGCGCAATGAGAACTAGTATCATCATGATTGAACTGCTGGGTGACTGCAGTGTAGTGATCGCTATCGCGAACGCGCGCCCACTGCATGTACATTTACAACTTTGCGAACGAGAAACTTCATCTTTTAGAATATAAAGTATCTCATTCTAAGAACAGCGGTAGACTAACCACAACAGGACTTTTGCAAAGCAGTGGATGACAAAATGGCGAAGATGTCGCACACCATCAGGATGCGAAGCCAACCTATCCGCGACTACATAGGCAGCGAACTGAAACGCCAGACAACATCACATATTGAGACATGAACGAGAACGAAAGAATGCGAAGAATTGAGTGATACTGTACCCAAGGTAGAGCCAAAGCGGAGGAAGATCAGGCGGCTTTGCTTTACGCGGGGTTCGAAAATGTACGTAATAGCAAAAGAAACATGAGTACTTTGACAGTAAAGGAGAAAGTCGAAAACCGTAGTACAAGCAGTACGGCCTTCATGGAATGCAAGACCTTTGAAAGAACGCACACTAAGACAGTAAGATGATTGGCTATCGGACAGTTGCATAGCAAAATGCTGCGACACGACAAATCTGGATTAGCGCATCAAGAAGACAAAGAAATCAAGCCGCGACAGCACGGGCTGAGTAGACATCTTCCCATGACCATGCGTTTGAGCCACGCCGGCTGAGTAAAACCTTGGGTTGAAGGCGCTCACCAAGCCCTACGATGATAGCTTCCATGTTGTCTATGGCCTTTGGGCGTTGATCCGAATCTTCACCCGACTTCAAGTTTGCCATCATCTGGCGAGCGAGTTCGACAGAGACTCGTCCACTGGTAATGAGAAAACGAAGCTTTCTCCAGGGTAGATAGTGTTCCCATCTACAAGCTGCGCCAAGTGTACACCTGTCTGGAGTACCAAATGTATACCAACAGAGTCCAAACTGATTCGACTTGCTGCAAAGATAGAGTTCTGCCCAAAGCATCCCGTAGTTCCGTGATCCGTCTTCGTTGTCGGGATAAATATGATGGCGCCGTAGTCTTCGATGACAAGTCTTCCAGGGCATAGGGTCGAAGAACTTGTCGCAAGGAGGTGGAATCGTGGGGATCTCCCCTTCCGGCACGGTGGATTCGTCTGCGACCTTCTTCGCGCGAGCCAGAGCCGCCATCCAGGCCTCCCAGTGTAGGACTGCTAATGATGTACCTTCCGTATCGAGAAGGCTTCCAAAAGAGACAGTCGAAAGATCCGGTGAAGCAATGTCAGTTAGGGAGGCGATGTAAGTCTCCGTCGGCGAGGAGTTGTCAAAGCCTCTCTCTGGTGAAGATGATCTAGATACATCGCTGCTCGTTTGGTAATCTTCGTCGAAGTCAAATTGCCGAGAAGAACCGCGGGTTGAGGATTCTGACGGACTCCGAGTCATCTGTCTTTGGGGAGATACAGGCGCGCACTGTGCAGGCGCTACTATTGTGGCGTCAGACTGTGGTAGAGGCCGAGAAGGTACGTCATCTGGTGCATTGTGTGAAGGAAGGTGATGCGGTTGTGGCTGCGGAGGGTAAGCCGGCTGAGGCAGCGGGCCGTATTGTTGTGGCAATGGATAGCATGTTTGCTGCGGTTGATAGTACTGTTGGGGCGGTACGAAGACTTGCGGGTGTGGATGATGCCACTGATGTGGATACCACTGAGGCGGATGCGCAGCGTAGGGTACTGGTGGTACCGTGTATTGTTGTACTTGGGGAGTATACTGTGGAGGTGGAGCAAGAGGCTGTTGCGGTGGAAAGTATTGGGGCTGTTGATATGGGTACTACGGTAGAGGCGGCGGTGGCTGTTGGGTTGGTACAGTTGTATAGTGTACAGGTGGATATTGAGGTTGCGGCCCATTGGGATACGGGTACCAATGCTGAGGATTGGGATTCATGTACGGATACATCTGCTATATGTCAGTAGATATTTTCATGGATTCCGATCTTGCACTCACTATTTGATCACTGGAGAAGGCGCCGAGCAGATCTGTCATCGCAGGGCAGAAGGACAGGAAGGCGCGGACTGTGCGCTTAGCGTCGCGCGTAATCACGTGATTGTTGTGTTCATGGCAACGCATGGTAAAACTTGGAGGATTCTGTTTGGGCGCCAAGCGCGCTAGTCTACGTTGCCTTGTTGGATGCCACAGACGAGATCTCTCTTAACGTCGACATTAAGCTCTCGCTCTGTGTCAGACACGATGACTTTCCCGCGATCTCCTCTCCCGGAGCAAAGCTTGGCATTTAGTGACTTCCAGTTGGATGCGTTATACGGTCCTCTCGAAGCTGCACTTGATGCCTCAAATGCCGAGCTCATGCCCTTCATCAAGGCGGAGACCGCATCTCTTCCGGACACTGACTTGAAAGCGACCATCGCTCCTCAGGCCGAACAGGCTCACTAATACGAGTACAGTGACGATTACCCCGATTCAAACGAACCAGACCCTCCGAAGCAGTCCATCCCGGATAAAGACCACCTTGCGCGCTTCGAACACTTCATCACGACGGCCATGCCCAAAGCCGCGGAAGTTACAGGCAACAACTACACCAGATGGGACGAGCACAAGGCCGTTGCAGCGATCGTCAAAGCCGTCGCGATCTGGCCACTCCTTAACTTGGACTTCGTCACGCGAGACTACCCGCGCGCCAAGCGCAACTTGAAGAAGAAGAAATGGTCCTTGACGAAGCGCAATAGGTTGGTCCTGCGGTTGTATAACGACGATGACATCGCAGCCTTGGCCATCTACAACCAGATCAAACCGAGACACAGACAACGCATACTCGCCGAGATTCGCCAACGGGAGCGCCATAGGAAAGCGTTGGCTAGTGGAGATGGGGATAAGGAGGGTATGTGAAGGGGCAAGACGAGAGGGCAAGGTCTTTGGCAAAGCATTGGTTTGAACGAAAACTGCTCTTTGTCTGCTGAGTGGAGTTTGAAGGAAGGATGTTATGGGAGTGTGGAGACATAGCGTCAAGCTGAAGCAAACATGTAGCTTCCGGGTTGACAGGAATTGGGAGGAACAGAACGTATTTGGCATGTGGTATTGATGGCCATCGAGTTTGACTACTTGGTGTGGAGCATGTATGCTAGTACCTTTCTTGCTGTTGCTGCATATGAAGTCGTCCCGACCGCTCATCTGTTCCTCATCGTGACATCGCATCTCATGTCGTCCAACGGGTAGTTATCGCTGAGCCATCTAGTCAATCCAAATCCCAAACGCAGCTTCAGCGCTGTATCATGCGTGTCATTCAGACAGCCAAACGTCAATCCAATGCGCGCTGGCAAGTCTAGGCAAGAGTAAACATCTCGCCCGTCCACCCATACTCTCTTTCGAGCCTCCTGCCATATCGCCTCGCCCACGTCAAAGGAAGTTTGCTTAGCGCGCCGTGGGGAGCATGGAACTGGATCGCACGCTCTGTATTTAGAGCCGGTGTGAATCTCCACGCAGACCCATGGAGTTTCTCTGCTTCGAAGCCGCGCTGGACCATAGCCTGAACGAAGTCCTTCCAGGCTACTTCACCTGGTACATCTCGTGCGGAAGGAGAGAAGAACAGGGCCCTGAAGACTAGATAAGAGCGCCTATCGACCGTCAACTTTGGCGTTGGTAATTCAATGACCGCGTCAGTTTGATGTTGATGGGCATTGGCGAGGGTGACGGAGTTGTCGATGCGGCGAGTCTTGATCTTCTCCTTGACCAGGGGCAAAGATACGTTCTGTTCGCCACTGATGGTGTTTGTAACACGAAAGGTCTCGGAGGAGAGCCGATCTGTGATGTGTTCGGGAAATATTTCCTGCTTGCGCTGTTGAATTGGTTCAGCCCAGGGCGCAGTGCGGCGAAGAGTGCGTCCGTGGGTGAGATCGTGCGCCAGAAGACCGGGGAAACTTGTTCCTGTCAGCTTCTTGCAAAACGCGTCAGCAGCTATCCAGAACGCATCGAGATGCTCTTCTGCAAGACGTAAAGCATCCGTCTTCTCGCGACTTGGTTTATCAGTGACTGGATAACGGAATTTCCCATCTGAGGGATCTGCGAGGCGTGCCAATGTAAGGCTGTTGAAACGAGACTGATGTAGAACCGGACCCCATTTCATGCCGAATTGATAGGAGTACATCATGAGCTCCGGCTTGAGAAGCTCAAGATCGTGTTCGATTCGCGTTGCCCAAGGCTGATACGATCGAATCTGTTGAATACATTCCGATGAAACTGACAGTTGCGAGAAGTCTGACCATACGTATGGTGATAACAGCGTCTTGACAGAAGGCTCCTTGAGGACCATCCTCTCGATCTCATCCAATTCAGCAATGAAGCCGACTTTAGGCGGGTCCTTCAGGTGCCAGATCCGGTGTAAGGCCACCAAGAAGCGGGTAGTGGTCGCATCCTCGTTCGCTTTCGATGAGTCAATCTCAAAATTGCAGAGTCCACCGTTCGGATCCGCATAGGTCTTGATGACATAACGTCTCATGGCTGGCGTGCCAGGAACTCGTTGCCGAAAGTTTTCGTGGAAGTCTGTGTGTAACGCGAAAAGCATCGTCCATAATCTGAGAAAGTTCATGTGGTATTCTGGAGGCAAATCTTGATCGGCGGAGAGCTTAAAGTCCGTTCGAGCTGCTGTGGACTGCAAATGTTTTACAAGACGCAGGCACTCATGCCAGTAATACAAAGGCAGGTAGGCGTCGATGATCAAATTGCGAATTAAAGAGCCGATCATAGCGTGGGGAGGTTCCTTCAGTATGGCGTTGACGTTGCCGTCGGTAGACTTGAGGTACTCCATGCGATGAGCCTTGTTGTCATCGAACACCTCATGGAAATAGCCAGGGTCTTCTCGCAACGCCCAGATATGATCCTCGAGTTCACCGACCTTAGCGTCGACAAGGACGCGTAACCGACCAAGATCTAACCGGGTCGGAACAGTGTATGGAGCCATCAAGGAGACCTCGGCACGGCTCGTGTGATTGGCCGTGCTGTCGATCAAAGCCTGGGGTCGCTGTATGACAGGGTATCCGCCTATCCGTGTCGTTTCATCAGACAAGATATCCCTTACTAGAAGAACACAACACCTGTGCAAGAACGTGTAGAGTATCTCCTGTATACCCAAGATTTGTAGTCCGTGTCCTGGGTGAACACCCCTGCCCTTGTATATCAATTGTGAGGCGTCATTCTTGTTCTTCCATTGCTTCATTCGACCGTATGTGCTTCTTGTATGTCGTCCCGAGAACTCCATTGTCGACGTGGGCAGATAGGGCTCTAGTATTACGTCTGGCCATCGAGCTATCGGAGAGTGAAGGAATTCTGTGTGACTGAATGAACTAACGGGGTTATGGCCGCGCGAACTTACTAATGTCAGAAAGGTTCCAGGTCGCACAAGGTCCTCTATGTTGAGATATGGGAGCGTGCAAGCTTCGCTGTTCGTCGCAATCGCTACGCGAACCAAGGCCTCACCAGGTTCCTGACCAACGGGTGTCGTGGACCGTGCTGCGATGGCAGCCATGGCGGCTAAATCAGGCCGATGCTCGCTCTCCATGCCCGGCCGACCCGCAAGAAGAAGCTTCCTCTTCTTTGCAGTACTCTTCTTGTACCATCTCTCCCGGATCGTATCCTCGTGACGTTCTAGGATATAGCGTACGCTCTCGAAGGCCGTAAATATTGCGTTGACTTGATGATGAGCGAACCGCTCGACTTCTTGCTCAGAGGGAAAGTAAGGAACGAGGGGAAAAGCGCCGAAGAAGTGGTAAAGCTGTGTGCCTCCGCCAGGACTGTCCGCAAATCTGTCGAGAAAGATCTCGTCGTCCGATCGTTCTGGGGTGAGGACTGCCGATGGCCCGTCTGGCTGGTTACGCGGCGCCATATCCAACGTCCAAAAGGCGACTTGACGTGTTGGTGGGGGTGGCTTAGGCGACGAGACAGAAAGTCGGAGCTGCGTTTGGAGGGCCCAGGCAGAGACGGTGCGGAGGGTCTAGCCCGATCCCCTTGGCGTTAGTGCGTCATTCGCCAGTGACTTGGGATATGTACTCAGAGCGGGCACGAAGCCAATACGCAGTATGGATGCGGACATTGCCCAGGTGGCTAGAACAACGGTGAGAGATAAATATGCGGTCCAGACTCTTGCTGAGCCTAGCACATGGCCCATGTCTCGAAATAAGCGTATGTGCCCATGTGATGCCGGGGCCCCAACTGGAAGTCTGTATGATGGTGGCAGGCGGACCGTCATTATGCGCATCCTTGTAGTCGCAAGACCGAGATCCTTTCGAAAGATCACATGTCGGTACTCCTGTATTCACCGACAGTGACCACAGCTTTCCATAGACGTCGAAGTAATGACTTGCACAACCTGGTTTTGGTGTGGCTGTCGGGCCACACGTCGCAATGTCTTCTCCTTGATGTAGCCCTTGTCAGGCTCTCGTTGCGACCCAATCTTGGTGACGGAAGTGCGGCGGCTTCGTCCGATCGCTCGACCAGTTTCCTGACCTGCATCGTCTCGAAGTTGATCAGATAGTGAAAGAGACAGGTCGAAAGTTTCTGCGCGTGACGCTAAGCCGTGATATGAAAATCTCGCGCCATAGTCGCACATTGCCCAACACCTCCCACCCATCTTCGACCGCACCTGTCGCATCGAACAGCGCCCACACTCCATCTTCCCACGATCAAGCCGCGACCTCTTTCGTCCAGTATCGACGCGATGTCGGATCAGCGCAACATCACTTCCGTGTATGGCCGCCGCGATAGTGATCCTGATCCACAACGGAACGCACCCTTGGAAACAACAAGGCGGACAGATGGTGGTGTAGAATGTAAGTATAAGTATACGTCGTACTTTCGGGTGACCGACGCCGACGTCATGAGCGAGCGCGATACCCTTCAAGCAGTCTGAGGTGGCTGCACGACGCTGCGCGACGACCTCATATGCGCCAGGGTCACTTGTGTTTCCTCTCTTGACTAGCTTAGCTGACATTGTATTCGCAGACGATCTTCCTACCAAGCGTGAATTGGAAACGTTCAGTGTGCGAGTGGACACGAAGCCCGGTGTCTTCATGCCAATTAGCCCGGTGAAGGCTCTGAAGTGCCCGATAGTAAATTGCCTGCCGCCATCCGGACCGTACTACGACGAGTTCATTCTCGAAAGCACCTTCGGCGAAGCCATGTTCGACGTGTACGCCAACGGCGAGATCCGCGTGTGTATTGTTTGCTGGGGGCCTAAACATAAAGACAACCACAAGAAGTGCAAGAGGAAGTGTCGAGTTTGCGGAACTTATGACCATCCGGGGCAGACATGTGGTCAGATATATGCGAGGATGTCGTGGTGGAAGGCCCGGGGTCACAAGGTGATCAAGACACAGCGCATCCGCCCCGGTGTTGGCGAACTCGTATACCTCGTCAAAGCCGGAATCGTGCACAGCTTCCGAAAGTTTACGGACGTTGTCAACGTAAACGAAGATCATCCGCTCGTACGCGAGCTCTACCGCACGACCTCGATGCCACTATATACACCGGGAAGGACTGTCTGGCCCAAGTCAGGCAAGGGTCAAAAGCGGTCAAGGCCAAGCGTTGAAGGGCCTTCAAATCCTGAGGGCATTGTTTCGCATGTGCCGGAAGAAGTGCAGGAAGCGCAAGAGCCGGTATACGGCTTCAAGCCCAGCAACAGGGGCTCCAACCACAGCGTGGATTCCAGTCGTGATCCCAGGCTTATGGCTCGACGCGTGGTAGACGAAGAGGATGGGGTACTTGGTGAAATCGCACCGATTGTCGATCAGCCAGTGACACACGAGTCTGGCGGTGGCGATGTTGAAGCGAGCGCGTCTGGACAAGACTCATCGCCCCAGTCTGAGCTGATCCGATATCTGGAGGCCGAGAACAAGCGCCTAGTTGCGGAACTTCGGCAAGCTCGCATCGAGTTGGTTGCGAAAGACGCTCGCATTGCTGAGTTGACGGATGACGGGGTTTCAACGGGCACGAAGCGCCCCAGGGCCTGAGCAGTGATTGACGAGGGCAATGGATTGGAGGAATGAGCAGCATCTGAGGCGATATGCTCCCGCTTTCGCGAGTAGGATAGCTGCAGACTAACTTTCGCGACGACACTCTTAGAGCGAAATTGAACATCTACTGTATCACCACCAGACATTTATGATACCTGCACCGTGACCAAGGTGTACAGGCGTGATACGTCCGCTAGAACTGCTGTACTTCGCAACGACGATCTGTGTGTTGCAGTAATTGAAAGAGCGAAAAAAGGGACTAATTTCGACAGCTTAACGAAGATGGAAGACTACTTGTCTGTGGAGAAAGACGCCAAGAAGGTGTAATCGCGCGCGCGTGAAGCCGACGTGCAGGAGTCTGCAGTGAATGCGCCTCTGCCAAAAAGAAGAAGCAAAAAAAGAAAGGGCAAAAAGAAGAAATCGTGCGCTGATAGATGCTCGCCCACGTGAGCGACCTCGTTAATGGTCACTCACCCGGCTACGGATCCGTTGGAGCAAGCTGGTAAAGCCCCGAGGGGCCAGTCCCAGAAGGGTGTACATGTCCTGTGTCACACGATGGAAAACTCTAGAAATGTAAGCAATATAACGTGAGTGTATCGTAATTTGCGGGGCGTGTGGGCCTTTGGCAGTTTAGGCGACGATCGAGACATTCACACAAACTTGCGCCGCCTACGCAGACCTGATGCGCAAACCGAACCATGATCAAGCTGCAGTCGCCACCAGCTACCTGCCATAACTCATTCGGAGTTCATGTAGTCGTCGTCGCTATCAATGTGAAGCCCGTTGGGGGAATGAGATCAGGAAACGATGTGGACGTGCGTGGTTGTGGAAATGCGTGGCTGCTGCGATGCGATGCGATTCGTGGCTGGACGAACGTGTGGAAAAAGTGAGGAAGACGCGTCGTCGGAAGATCGGGGATGGAGGTTTGCCGCTAGATTAGTCATCCCATTTCCACTTTCGCAATTCGCCGCACCGGCGCGCCTCACAACATCACGTTCCATGTCAATAAATCATCCAGAAGTTTACATCGCTTTGACATGTTACAAACTTCCATTTTGATACCCATGCAGTCTCAAGTGACTGGGTACATTTGCCTTCCTATACATACACGCACATCCTCTCAGGCTCATCATCATTCCATCCGCGCGCAGTGTCCTACGAACGAGGCCACTTGCTGATGGTCTAGTATGCGCCACCAGTGTCAGCAGCTTGAGCGCGCAGCTGCTCGAGCTCCGCCCTCAGCTTCCGAATCTCACGATCCTTTACAACTGCCTGCATTCTCAAGTTCAGATTCTCGACCTCCTGGTCCTGAAGCTTCTTCTCGATGTCTTCTGGGTCAGTTGGGGTCTCGCTGTTGCTGCTTGCGGTTTCAGGATGCGAAAGTGGCAATCCGACAGGCGCGCCATGGGAGGAGCGACCCTGGAGACGCGGGTCGAGGCTGTTGTCCACGGATCTTATCGGCATGGTGTATGGGCCCATCGGCGGCGGAAGCGGTTGCTGCTGAGGGGCGTTCGCCACGAGCTTTGGTCCACTGCGCGATGGAATGGACGTCGAGCGATGCCTCGGGTCCGCCTCAAATATCTTCCGCATCATTGCCTTCGACCTTGGCTTATCTTTGTAGAAGTCCTGGACGATCGGATGCATTGGGTTTACAAGAACAGTGTTGTTTGGACCGCGTGCAAGATACATGACACCGATATAAGAGAGGATAGCGAGCTCTTGTTTGTCGGGACGAATTTGTCGATCTCGAACGGTTTCTGGACCGCATGGAATCTCCTGCTGACGATACCAGTCTCTATTACAGTAGAGCAGGGAACAGCTCTACCACCGATGTTAGCATTGCTACCGGATATCAGGGACATTTCTTACCTCGTCGGGGTGGCGGCGGGTTCCGCAGACCTTGCATACCTTCCCGCAAGACGTGGTTGAATAGCCTGCGGCGGGGTGACAGGTCCAACAGATCATGCAGGGTTTGTATTTGAAGAAGATCGGGCCAAAGACGTGGAGGAGAGCGTTCTGGTCGTAGTATGATCCCGCTGGGGGTAGGTATCGCTCAATTGGGTACGTGAGGCCATCTGGCAGTGACATCGATGAGGGCGAAGAAGGCGTGACAGCGATGCTGCTGGGAAAGGACGGAAGCGATTGTAGAAACCTGTCCGCAGCTTCGGAGTGCGAGGGTTCGCTTTTGATACGGACTGGCTGGACGTTGGCGCCGGTCGGTTTCCAGCGCTCAGTGACTTGCGAGTCGGGCTCGGGCGGTTCTTCTCTGGTTAGCCAGGCTGTAAACGGGTCCTTGGGGTTCTCACCTTCACGTTCCATCATTCTGAGGCGCTCACCATGTATTGCCTGCTCGGGCGTTGCAGACTGACTTTGTCGTCGCTGCACGCTATCGTCGAGCTGAGAAACACCAGGACTAGGCGTGGGCAGAGGCGGCTTGGGGGCGTACAAGGCCTGCATCAAGTAGACATTGGCCATCGCGATGTTTGGGCGTGGGTGAAGTCTGTGTGCATGGGTAAGTCAAGTGTTTGGCGGTTTGTTGACAACGACGCGTCTCGGCTTGGCGTGTTGCTCTCACCTACGTACCCAGATAGGTAGGCACGACTGACATGGCATCACGTGGCTGTGACATCACCTGACGCGCTCCTCTTTACCACGAAATCTGGTCTAGATATGTGTTCAGCATGTATGAGACTAGAAAACAGCATCACTGGAAGCAGAAGATGTGCAGTGCTGAACTGTATGCAGGATTATCTAGTATCGTAGAAATGCTTTGGACCACGTCAACCAAGAAAAACACTGGACAGGCGTGCAGCCTACATCAACATGGAAGCATACGAGATAGGCGACCTGGCGTCGATGTAGGCTTCGGACCTGTTGTCCTGAATTCCAAATATACCAAGTCATCAGTTATTTCCCGTTGCGTTACTATATACCGCCTAGTACATCATCAAGCGTCGTGTCGCCCAATGCACGACCCATTTACCGGTATCTAGTCCAAAGACCATCCAAGCTTGGCCTTGAGCGTTCTGATCATCCTGTCCTTGTCCTTGCTCTCATCAATGTATTGAAGCTCTCGCTGGTCGCGCTCATGCAGCAGCTTCTCGTAGTGCAGTTGTAGGCTAGCCGTAGGGGACAGAGCAGGATAGCGGGGGTTTTCCGACGAGGATGAAGAAGGTACGGTGATGGTGTTGGCGGGAGGGACGATCCGGAGCTGCATGTTGTTGTCTGGCGGAGCTTGTGGCTGGAGCCAAAGACCCGGGATTGTCATTGCCGGGTGCGAAGAAGGCTCTTCGGTGACTTGACGGATGGCTCTAGCGAGAGGGGAGCCGATGAAGGGCAGATCGTGTGCTTGGAGATCTAGAAGACGAGTTTCGACGCCGTTGGCGGGAGCTGCTACCGCCTCATTGGGGTTGGCCTTGACTGTCATAGCGGCGCTCCTATACCCGTTCTCGTGGCTCCACAGGATGGGAGTGCGGACGCGGAGGCGATGACTGTACCGTATTGTATGGTCGGCGTAGTATTCCTTGACATCAGTATTGTCCATCTCCGGCAAGACGTCCATGGAGACATGAGACATAGTCTGTATAATCCCCAGACCATGAAGATATGCGATCTGGTTCATTCCGGGACGTAGCGCAATCATGTCATCTGGGTCTGGAGTACATCCGTGGTCTTTGCGCCACTTGTACGAGCAGTAGGCAATAGTGCAGAGCTATAACAAGTTAGTGATGAGATCTCTATGGCAGCAAGGACAACTTACCCCCTTCGCGTGCTGGTCCTTACATCCACACATGCCACACGCGTTCACGCATCCGCTAGGATCTTCGGAAGACCCGCACCCAGGCTGTAGACAGTGACTACAGAGACCCATTCTAGGTAAATCCGGGCCGAATAGTGCGATGATGTCGAATTGGTAGTAGTAGGCGCCAGCCGGGGGTAGGAACTGCGTGGGCGGGCGACCTCTGAGACTGCTGAGGGACATGGCAGCGGGAAGGACTACGACGTAACGTTAACACATACATCTCACGACATGAGTAAGGTGGGGAGAAACAACGTACTGATGAGAGGATGTCGGTGGGCCGTGAATGCCTTGAGGTACAACACAGGACGCCGAGTCGTTCACGCAAAGGCTTGTTTGTTTGGTTCGCGGCGGGATCCCCTCGCACTTCTAGAAGGAGACACCTATAGCCACAGCTCACCGGATGGAGGCTTGCGACGTCTAGAATCCCGATCGTGAAGAGCTTGGTTTCGAATCTGCCCTCTCCCAGTCGGCCGTGGAGTCCTCGTCAGCTCGTGCGGTAAGCTGATGCTTTATGCGTGGAGTCAGATCAAGTCAACACAGGTAGCGAGAGGAAAGATGGGAGAGGGAGGCGGGGCTGAAATATACAGAGAAGTGCGCTAGTAAACGCTAGCTCAGGCGCTCACTCAGCAAGCACGTGAGTATAGTCCGCAGTCACCGACGCGTCTCCGCCTTCACCGCGCCTTTGCTGACGTAGTCGCGATATCCGAGCCCCTACAAACACCGCTATCATCTTGGAAGAAGCCAGTGCGTAGGCATGGAGCCAAGCCATGTTGATACCGATAGGATGGAGGACGATGGGGAAGAGACTGCTGTCCATGTAAGTCTTTCACTGATACCTCGTCGTACCACAACAACAACACTGACCAAAAGATAGCAGCAACAGCAACACTACCAAACCACCTTCTCCGGTCATGCGAGCCTCCAGGATCCCGAGCGCACCATCAGTCTCGCATTTCGTCCCGCATATCACGGGGATGGTGTCAATCAGGTGAACGACTGGTTGAATTCGATCAGCAGCGCCAGTAACGATCCATACTTAACAGCCGAGACTTTCCCTGTTCCACAATGCCCCGCTACACCCTCCATGTTCCAACCAGATTCTTCAACTCCCGCACCCGGTTGCGAACGCATCACCAAGGAGGCGTTTGAGCTTGTTTTGGAGCAAAATGCGAGACTGAGGCAGGAGCTGAGGTCGGTGAAGGAGGCTCGCGCAAAGGCGGAAAAGACGTGCTCCGATCTGGCGGCTTGGACTTTGTGGGAGCGAGAAAGGTTGATGCGCGAGTTGGAGGAGGCCAGAGCGATACATCGTGCTTTCATCCAAGACGAGGTCGACAAGCTCATCGCCGAAGAGACAGGCCGTCTGCCTATGGATGAGTAATGGGATGGCGATTATGCTCGAAGTTGATGTATTGTGGTTGGCATCCGCGAAGTACCTATGAGTTATGTTATCGACGTGTGTATGCCATATGGCCTGCCATAGATCGTTCCTGTCCCCAAATATTTGCGGTGACGGCATGTAGGCTGTAGCTCAACGATTTGTTTTGCTCCGTTGATACGAGGGGTGAAGTGAGAACTTGCTCGCTGCTTCCCGATTCGGACTCACGGTGAGATGACTTGAGCTATCGCCACCCGCTAGCGCCATCGTAGAAAGCCCTATGCTGGCAGCATAGTGCCACATATCTCCTGAACTCCATTGCCATTGGCCGCATATACGACATGGCGGAATTCTTCTTGAAGCGAATGTTGTTTGCGAGGTTGCGAACTACACGCACGGCCACTGGAACCCAACCGGTCCCGCGATATCAGCCAGAGACTGAGCACGAGGCGTCCCACGAAAACGAGACGGAAGACGCGACCACACCCGAACACGGAGATCCCGAAGACGAGATTGACGACGATGCTGAGCCTGTGCCAGCAGCGGAAGATGCTGAAGACGACGCGGAGAGGCTACGAACTCCCTCCGCAGACCGCGATCTCCGCGCGACATGGATCGCGGGCATCAACAGCCTGTGGAGATGCGCCGCAGACAGGGCCGCCCTTCTAGCCGCACAAGCTAGAGACGCTGCATTCGATGCTGTCGAGATGGTCAAAGAGCTTGGGTTCATTGGCACAGCAAAGGCAATCGGCCACTGGATCAGACTGAATCCGTGGAAGACTGCGCTGATCGTAGTGCCTCTCGTTGCGCTTGCAATCACAGCGATAGCGCTCTCGGCCACGGGCTTTGGCCCAGCTGGGATCGTTGCAGGTACGTCATCTCGGAGAATATATCGTGGACATTGAATACTGACGTGTTCTAGGGAGCGCAGCCGCGGCCGTGCATGCGGGTATTGGCAGCGTTGTCGCGGGTTCGTTTTTCGCGACGTGCACCAGTGCGATGATGGGCGGATACGGCGCAGTAATCATATTCGGGGGTGTCTGGGCCATATCGACTGTGTCGGTAATCTTGTTCGCGGCTGTGCAAAATCATCGGGAGAGTCGCCATGAACGCGCTCTGGTACCACGAATTTTACCTACACCAAAGTCTGCATCCGAGATCGCGAAGCAAGCCGCGTCCGAAGCCGTCTTCTGGGGCATGGTGGCCGCAGCCTACGTGGTATATAGGTTTAAGAGCTGGTACCGTGGACACGGAGAGGGGATTGAAGAGGTGAACGAATGACTTGGCAAGGCCTTGAACCACTCTTCGTGGCATTTTGCATTTGCCAGACACCAGAGGTTGCAGGATGTCGTGGTGAACAAGCTTTTGATAGAGAAGCAGAGCTGAGGGCGAGAAAGACCGAAAACATGTATCCAGCGACTTTGGAGTCGAAAGCGTAAACTAGAACATAGGGTTTGATGATAGCCTGGTAAAGGATGATTCTGCGTCAATGCTGGAAACAATTAGGTTCTCAAAAGCCTCGTTACGTAGGAGATACCTTATGCTGCATGTTGACAACTACTGTGCGAAGCTTGCAAAAGGACACGTCAACCATCTTTCTGACCTGTACAAACATCCCGATGTCTGAGTCAACGCAGTTCACGCTGTGCGAAAACATAGTAATTCTTCATCCCTGATGCTTGCGCGTACACAATCGCGAGTCTGTATCGTTCGTGAACGGAATCGCTGGTGTGGTCTATCCATGAGCGCGAAACGATGGAAACGAAGCCCGAGTGGCACAGAACGAGAAGGATGGGCTGAAAGGTTCGCCCAGTATGTGACGTCGATTGTGAGGAGTTCAGGAGTCGTCCGAGCCGGCCCCGGGGGACAGGGCGACCCACTAGCGCTGACTAACGATGAGGCAGGCCAAGATCGGCGGCGGCGCGGCAAGCCTCACCTCCTTCCTCGCCAGCAACAGACGCGTCCATCATGCCACCAGATCGTTCACGCACCACCAACTCACAAGGTAGGCAGAAGTCGTGCTCAGAGTGCGCAAAGGCAAAACGAAGATGCGGTCTCGAGCAGCCTCATTGTGCACGATGCGCGAGGCAGCACTTGCCATGCGTCTACCCTCCACAGCCTCGGTCGCAGGCCGCGATTCCGCAAAACGACTCATCTGCAACACCTATTGACTTGAGCTCATCCAATGCGCCAACAGAGATGCCAGAGATTGATGATGGCTGTGTTGCTTTCGACTTCGACCTACCTGGCATGCCAGCCAACCCCACCGCAGAGCTCTTAGACTTCGACTTCTGCACCGCAACAGAGTCTCTCGACGCACTTACGGACATGCTCAACACGCCAGCTCATCAAGGAGATCAGATGACTTTACAAAAGTCTTATACGCCAGTGAGCCAGCCCTTCTCAGCAAGACACCTGTCACCCTTCGCAAAGTCCAGAGTGGAGTACTCAATCGAGCTCGTCAAACTCGCGCCAAAGATGATGGTAGAGCAATGTTGCACACCATGGGCTCACCCTTTGCTTTACGAAGACCACATGCCAAGATCATTACAGGACGCACACGCTGCATGTGCCCTTTATGTTACCATGAACGACAACAATGCTGAGCACGTCACACGGTTCATCACCAGTCGCGCGGAAGAGCTCATAACCACTGCTATACCAACACCGCCCATCGAGGTTCTAGCTCGCACACAGGCTCTGATGTTGTATGAGATCATGCTCATCTTTGGCGGTGACATGCGACTTTACTCCCGGGCCGACGCCTTGATACCGCATCTGGAAAATGTGGGTGTCGTCCTTCTACCCATCGCAGCAGAGGATCCCGAGCTTCCCGCTACCCTTCCACTCTATCCCAGTACAGCCGCTCGGTCAGCCTGGCAATCGTACATCTTCCGTGAGTCAGCCAGACGTACAGCATTGGTAGCTTTCCACGTAACCGTCATATACACCCTGCTGAGCGGGCAGATGAGGTCTTGCGCCAAAGAGCTCTCTTTGAAGAACCGCGTCATGCTTTCTGCGCACTTGTGGAAGGCAACGAGCGCTTTTGACTTTGCCATGGCGTGGAATAGCAAGAGTCACTTTGTTATCAAGGAGCTGGACTTCACGGATGTCTTGAGGGGTGCGCAGCCTGATGACCTTGATGCGTTTGCTAACATGATGCTCATTGGTCTTCAAGGCATCGACGATATCCGGGGCTGGTATCATACACGAGGCGGGGCTCTCACATAGCCTACTCCGACCAGGGTCAGCGCGCCTGGACTGACTCATCTCATTGTCGCCCTATATCACCCAAGGGCTCGTACAAGCCAAGCTCCTTTCAACAAGTTCGAACCAGGAAGGCTACCTAGTTCTTATCGTCACCTAGGCCCTCCATAGAAGTACCCGGCACCGGTGTCTATCACAGTCAGTGAAGCTCAAGGAAAACATGACATAATACGACTTACCTCAGGAAACGCCCACCACCGGTCCACGTTCTCAATGAACTCCTTGCCCTTCTGCTTGCCGTACTCAATGATCCAAGCCTTTTCAGTGTTCGAAAGCGGGTGATGGCGCCAGGGACACTTGACACCCATCTCACAACGTTTCTTCGTAAGGTAGGTGGTGAAGCAAAGTCCCAGATCGTGGCGTTGCTCGGAGCCATACATGCCCGGCGCGATCTTGCCGTTGGCGCCGTTGACGAAACGCTGGGCTTTAGGTTTGGCGGCATATGTGGCGAAGATGCGGTAGTCGTAGCCGCGAAGGTCGTGCACTGTCGGCGGAAACTCCCCGTTCTCTGGATTCTGGAGGTGTGGAAGTCCTAGCTTGGGCTCTTTGGCAGATTTTGCCGTGCTGGGTGTTTGGCTGGGTCTCCGGTGCGTGGACTGAACTGGCGCATGCTGAGCGGTTGTAGAATGGGATTCTGGGACCTCCTGGTGGCGGTACGGCTCCTCAGGCTGTGGCATCTTCCGACCGGTACTCATTCTCACCGCGGGGGCAACGTGGGCCGTCTCTAAAGCGTCGTCATCCCAGTCCACTTCGTCCTCGACGGAGTACTCTGGACGCGAAGGCGCCTCACTGAAGTGCTCCTGATGGTGTTGCTGCGCATCTTGATCTTGGCCGTACGCTTGCTGGATGTGAGCTTCCAGTCGGCTGGTATCTCTCGTGCGACTGCTTCGGAAGGCAGCATCCTGCCTGGGCGACCAATGCCTATCGTCATCGCGGTCACCGTATCGGCCGGCCATAGCCTTGGCCTCGTCCGCAGCCACCTCAGCATCAGTCTTGATCTGGCCGACTCGGACCTTGCAAGCACGAGCAATATGCCCTTGCTCTCCACATCGAAAGCAACCCTTCTTATCGGTGAAGGCAGCTGGGCAATCAGCAACCCTATGCCCTTGATAGTCTTAGCAAAGAAGAGTTTGGAATCTGCAAGTATACAACCAACCTTTCTTGTTACAAGCAAAGCACCGCTGGTACTCTGCCTTCTCTGGCTTCCGGTCGTCTCGCTGCGGCTCCACGTCCACAGTCTCCCGACGCAGCGGTGACCGCTCGCGATACCGGGCTCGCTCACCACGCCAATCTTGCTCATCTCGCGGATCTAGACGCCGGGCAGGCGAACGACTACGGTCACGATCTCGCTGTCTCATTCGCAATTCTTCTTCCGCCCGTGCGTAATCTCGTTTTCGTACGGCTAGCTCCGGACGGCGTCGACCTTGCATCCTCTCGCCATCCAAATCGTCACCACCTCTACCCCGGTCTTCGCGTTCTCTGGGTCCCCTCGGTGGGGGCTCGGACGGAGGCGGTGGAGGGTTGTGTGGACCGTACGGACCTGGTTGTGCTGGCCGGTCTCGCATGTTGGGTTGCCGTGACATGTCTGCGAGAGTCAGTGTAGATGGTACGGCAGGTTAGCCAAGATCAATTCAGAGGTATCAAGCTGGTTTATTGTGGATGAGGTGGAGCTTCTGTCAGGTGGCAGTAGCAAGTCTACGTGACCGTGTATTGACGCACGGGCCATGAGCGTAGTCACGCAGCGTAGCCGCGAGGGTCTGTTGTTATGTTGTGACGTCAGACTGATTACATTATGGTTCTTGTATCACGTACAAGCTTTCCTTCGGTGCTGTTGAGGCCAGTTGATGTGGATATGTACTGCGAAACGCTAGGGGTGACACGATCGACCCTATGGGATAAGACATGAACATGTATTGTAGGACCTAAGCTTTACGCAAGCTATGGATTGAAACATACTAGAGCGAAAGAGAGACGTTGAACCTTATCCTGCAGTCTACGCTAGTATTTCAGTCGTTGTCTGTCTTCTTAACAGACGAACGGGAGTGTACGATGTATTCCGTTCTTGGATATTAGTCACCGTTGCTTATCGCGGCACCTTCTCGGTCACTGGTCACTCCTTTCATAATAGCTGGAAATCATTATCAAGGAATCTGCAGGGTGGACAGCGATGTCGTTGGAAGGTACTTGACGTAAAGTCGGATTCTAGTGAGAATTATATGAAAAGGCATCTACAACGAAACAGCTGCAATTTAACTAGCGAGGAGTGTGAGTCGATATGAGCAAGCGAGTATGAAGAATAGAACCTTGATTCTCGGTCAGTCTGAGAGTACCTCTAAGTATGGGTGGACGCCAGAGAAGAGATATAAGAGCAACATAGACATATTTCCATGGGTTCATGTCAGCACTAATCATAGCGACATAGCACCACGCACTGTCTGCCGGGTATGAATTACAACGAGGTATCATTCAACATCTCAATCACGAGGTAATACACCTCAGTCAAATCACCATCCCAATCCCAACGCAAGTATAGTGAAGTATCACAAATGGCGAGAAGATGGCGGATGTGTTCAGCACCGAACAGTATCTGGGGACTTTCTGGCGATTCGCGTCTAGTCAAGATTTGATACCCTGGATACCGAGACGCTACACAGCACTGAACAGTTGATCCTTGGTGACAAGTTCGTAGACATAGAAATAATATGATTGCATTACTCAACGGAAGGGGATATCTGAAAAGCATTCCGCAAAAAGTCGTAAATCATGATAAGAGCTAGAGAAACAGCCGCCCTGCCTTACGGACACCAAACTCTTAAAAACATTACTGCGCGTGTACATTCAAGAAAACACCAAAGTGTAACATTCGTCAATTACCGTGGCCCATATACCGGGTAGGGCGGGTTGGCATACTGCTGTTGCCCGGGCGCCCGCGCGTAGTCCTGTGGGTTGTATGCATATGCCTGTTGGCCCTGCTGGCCGCTTGGCCGCCTCTGGTGGCTGTTGTGCTCTTCCTTTGTCTCTTCCATCGTTGGCAGCTCGGCTGCGAATGCCTTTTGTTCTAGCCCTGGCGATTTCATGCCCTCTGATGGCGCATACGAGCTGGGGCGTGAGCTGGCGGTGCTGTGCGATGCGGTCGACCAGCGTGCATCTTGCGGGTTTGGCGAGTATTGCGATGGCTCGGAGGCAGAGGACGCGCGGTTATCGTGAGGGGAGAGGTGGGATGGAGACGGTTGAGGGTGGTAGAAGTCGCCCGGTAGTTCCATGACAACGTCATTCGTGCCTAGGAGCTGCTTTGGTGGGACAGGAGGGCCGGGCTGCTGCGCGGGCTGCGCCCATTGTTGGCTTTGCCTGTGCGGTGACATGGGCATCTGGTAGGGTTGGGTCGGCGATGGTTGTGGTGGCGTGTGACCGTAAGTAGAGCGATCAGCTGGGTTGACCGTCTTCATGCGCCCATTCTCCATCATCGCCTGGAGTGCGCCCGAGTCTAGCAGCTCCGCCTTCTTGACCAACCGCTCGATCATGATCGTGCAAGCTGCCTTCATTTCCTTCTTTACAAAGTTCATCATGGCGACGTTGCATTTGATCTCTACATCCTGGCGAATGTAAAGGCCCTCTGGTGGCGCAGAAGAGCCCAGCTCTTTCGGCTCAGGTGGCTCGCCAATCTGGTTGCCGCCAATATGCCACTTCTGGCGCAGGTCGACATTCGCAGGCGCGTAGGTGTGTGTCTGGAGCCCAAACGGCAGGTCGTGGAAGACACCGCGGAACTTGATTGCGCCGCTGCCCATCTTGCCAATGCCGGGTATGTACTGTATGCGCTGCGATATCTCGTACCATGTTGAGTAGTATTCGTCTGCGGGAGCGTCGCGCGGTGCTTTGATGGGCTCGTGGCCGGTGACGAGGGGGTTCAGCTCGATGATCTCGCCGTGGCTGTGGAGGAAGTCGATTGCGAGCTGGCGCGGTATGAACGACGGTATTGGTGTGATTTGCACATACTGCGTCTTCTTGCGCATCATGTTCATGGTGGGCGATCAGTGTCGAGTAGGGCCGATGTAGGTGTGAGATTTCTGCGTCAATTGCTCGAGGTTGCGATTTGAAAGAAGAGGCTGCGCCACGACGGCAAAGGTGGGTAGTAATAAGGACGTTGCTGACGGTACCCCTGCTTGTGTAAGTAGGTTTGCAGGCGCTGAGCCGTGGCCGGGTCGTCAGCCCAAGATCGCCGTGACGAAACGCGTCATGCACGTGCATGTGATGTCAGAAACACCCAAGATGCACGAGTAATCTTCTTTTTCTGCTACCCTGCTGCAGTTGATGCGATTAATGACTTGCGAGCGCGGTTTGCTTGACAATGCGGTCTGCTTTCGATCGCTTTCATCATTGCGGCCCTGTAGGGCGGTTGGCGCCCGCTGTGGATCAGCCTAATTATAGGCTTGCAGCTGGTCGCCGGCAACTGTCAGCTCCATGCAGGTGCTGCTGGTGGGGGCAGGAAATCTGAACTTCATCAGCTCTCACCGTCGCAAGCCGTACATGGCTTCGAATCACCAAGCCAGAGCTCGACACATGCCGCGACGCCAGTGCTGATGTCCTTGGTGCTTTTCTTTGCTTTTGCCTAACGCCGGAATCGTGGCCATCCGAAGGCGTAGCGTGACCGCGCCAAGTTGTGCTCCTGGGCGGACGCGACGACTAGCATCCATGTGGCTGAGCCTAGGACAAATAATCCTACTGTCGTTCCTCTAGTGAGATGCCACGTTCGCAGCGGCGATGGACCGTTCGAAGTTGCGATGGGAGAGATTGAGATCCTCGACGTGACGGCATAATCATGTTTCGGAAACAACAAGACCTGAGGCAACAAATCTCCTCGACCCCGCGGAGCCCCTGGATGCCGACAAGTATGGGAGTGTAGCCAAGGGTTCAACAGTCGCGGGTTGTCGTTCTCGTGAAAGCGCAGTTGCTCGCATTGATAAAGAGTCAAGAGTGTACTTCCTTTTGACGATCGTGGTAGCCTGTTCGGTGGTACTTGTAGCAGCTAAGAACAGATCCCTTATCGACATGCGACCGAAGGTCGATGAAAGCAGGACGGTGCATGAATGCGACTGGTACCATTCTGCCAGTAAACCAAGGGAGCGTGTTCTAGTGCCATTCGAAACGTTCCGAGGTGTCCACTCGAACGATCTGGCTACAAAAAAGAAGATGGAAACGATGCGAATGGGTGAGAACGAAGATGGTGAGTGTAGGAGGTGAAACATCTCGGAGCGAGTCGCAGAGTTTTGTTCCTGCCTTTGTCGAGACCCTGATGACCCTGACGCTTGTTTGGCTCCAAGGCAGGAGCTACCGCAACCTCGACCGTGGTTCATGCCATGCGCCTCTCGTAGGACAAACCACGACAACACAACCCTTCAACGACGCCATGCTCGGCTATGCGCAAGGACTGTCACGCTACACTAAGCTCACCGGACAAGGCTCGCTGTGGACGAGACGCAGCAGTCCCAGTCCTACCAGCTTGAATTTCGCCCGAGGATTGGTATCACGTGGCTCGTAATTCGTCTACCTAGGTACAACCCATCGTGAACCATAGGATGGCTACTCAACTCCAATACAACGGGGACGCCCACACGGCGTCTGTGTGAGTCACAGGCGAGTATAAAGCCCACCATCCACGCACCTTCACAATTCAACCACACACCCACAAACATGAACACAACACGCCCCAACCCCAGAGGCCCCTTCCGTGAAATAGGCCGAGGATGCTGCGGCAGCATCTGGATCCGCGGAGCCAATACCTGGGTCATCAAACGCGAACTCATGCATACAAACCGCTCCGTCTTAAACGACTACACTATGCATCGACGAATTATCGCAGCAGACACCACAAATACGCTTCCTGTGCGCATACCGCAGTCTTACGAGGTCTTGGAGGCTGATGATGGCTGGTGGGATAACAATTTCACTTGCTTACCTCCAGGTGAAGAGCTGAGCAGGAGCTACAAGCAGGAGAGGATACCTGCTGTAGGACTGCCTATCCGCGAGATGCTTATCGACAGATATTGTCGCGAGACGCTGAAGGAGGCTACGAGGACGAGCAAGAAGAATGAAGATTGCCTTATTCGAGTGTACACGGGCAAACGGAGACCAGAAGGACGCCCGCCTGGCATGTTCTTCAACCTGCGCAACTATGGTCTTTGCGTCGATCAAATGGAAGAGCTAGGTCTGGATCCTGTTGTCATCGCGAAGACCCTGGCCGAGGCGCTCGCGTATTGTTACTGGAAGGCTGAGGTCGATGCTAACGACGTGGAGTTTGTGCTCGCGCCAGCTACCGCCCAAGAAGAGTACAGACGAAACTCGTCAACGCCCATCTTCACACTGCTAGATCAAGAGCTCGTCATCTGGATGCTGGACTACGACTGCGTACGTACCATGAGTCAAGACGCAAGTGGTATCGCCCAAGCAGTCCACGCTTTCTGGCGCAACGACCCGTACTTCCCTCGACCTTTTGCCTACGGCCATACACATGCTGACACTGAATTATGGCACACATTCAAGGCGCATTTCCTCAACGTTAGCAGGCGCATGTTGACAGAGAAAGAGCAGGACGGAATGGTGAAGAGCATACTAGACCTTCCGCAAGAGTGGATAACCCAAGTAGAAGCCGAAGGCAGTCGACGCACAGCAAGGCAAGAAGAGCGACGTGAGTGAAGGGGCGGGGTAGGGTGTAGCGACACGTTATTCACCTGCGGACCAAGTTCAAAAAATTGGCAAAAAAGTGAGGAACGACCAGAGTTTCGAACTCGGCTGTTGTCTTAACGGGGGGCCCAGTGAAGGGGAGATAACTGCGGGGGGCCTAGTGAAGGGGAGACGGCGGGGGGACCAAACTGCTCTGCGGCCGCAGTCGCGTTCGATGGGTAGTTTTAGAAATTAGAAGATATATATACATGAGTAAGGAGTGATCGATATATGGGGGTGGATCTGGGGGTGAGGGTGAGGGGTGAGGGGTGGCGGTATTGCGGACGGAAGTGAAGTGAGAGCGTATGCGGGGGGTTGCAGAAGTGAAGGGGACGGGGCGGGTTTGTGTGGGCTGTACTCAATGAGATGATGTCTTGCGATTCCCATACAGAGTGGCTTGCAGCAGATAACACAATGACGACGGACACAGTCGCGCACTCATAAAGTCATCCATCCAAATGATATCAACCGACCATCCCTCCCCTCAATCGCAACAACACCACCCTAAACAACAACAACATCCAACACCCCCTTCCCACCCCCCTCCTTCACCCTCCTAACCTCAACCCACCCATCCTTCTCCAACCTTACAATCTTCCCATCAACACATATCCTCCTCCACCTCCCGTCCTCCTCCTTCCCCTCGAACTCAATCCTCAACCCATCAATACTCTCATACCTCACATCCCCATCCCCAACATGCTTACCCCCATCATACGCCTTATTCATGATACCCATGACCTCATCGCCACTCCTCGGGGTAAAATGAACAAGGTGCATACTCCCGTCTAGCGGTTTAGTAGCAGGGGAGATGCAGAATGGTTTCTCGAGATGCGATACCATGGTTGCGAGGATGTACATGTGTTCTTCTTCTGGTAGAGTGGTCCAACGATCTTTTTCTTGGAGAACAGAGACTTTGCCTTTGTACGGATGTGGTGGTGAGCCATCGGCTGGGTACAAAGCTTCTTTCGCGGCCATCTTGAAGCGCTCGACGCCGTGCTTGCGGTACTCGGTTGTGTCGCTGTCGCCGACGAGCGTGGCGTGCATGCCCCAGGAGGCTACCACTGCGCCGTTGAGAATGCCGTTGCCCTGTGCGTCTTTGGGTAGTTCTTGCTCTTGTTGGCCTTCGTCGATGAGGAGGCGGGCGCCGGGGGAGAAGGTCGCTGTGAATGTGGGGAGGGGCTTTGCTTGCCATGATGTCAGGGTGGTGAGACCCCATGTGTCGTATCCGCCTGCGTTGATGGAGTGGTAGAGCGCGTTTGCTGTGCCGAGAGGGAGGATCACGACTTGTGGGGGGATGTAGGTCTGTGGGTTTGGTGTTCTGGATGAGAGACCATTTACGAGATCTACGATGCCGCCGTCGCCTGAGAGGAGGATGATGCGCATTGGTTTTCCTTGATTGGCGGCTGGAAACAGGACGGCGTCGGTGAGTTCCAAGATGCTGGTTGGCGATTCCGTGGTATGTACTTTCAACTCTTCGACGCCTTTGTTTCCATGTATGCTTTCGAGGATCGGGCGGACGGCGCTGGAGTAGAACTCATCCGCGAGTCCATGACCTGAGCCACTCGAGATGATAACATGGGTCTCGCGCTTTTCGGGTGGGGAGAACGGTGGTTGTTTATCGCGAGGTCTTGTTGATAAACTAATCAAGAAAGGTGGCCTCGTAGGATCTTTGTGCTCTTGTAATGTCAAAACAGCCTCTGACTCGCCATGGACGCTTTGAGTCGTGAACACGATCTTGCGATGCTGATCGTCCCCGCCAGATCTGTTCATGATGGCAGCCTAGTGTAAACAATGACTCGGCCGGACTTTTTACTGTAGTGCGATCGCAAATGAGTAAGATGATGATCAGTCCAAATATGACCGGAAGTTGATCCGAGGGACAGACGTCCAGTTCCCACGAGATGCAATGTCACCCACGCCATGGTGTGGAGATAGGCGTGATAGGCTGGCAGCCCAATCGCGCAATCCCACCTGCCCCATTTTTCGTTACGGTCGGCGCTAGTCCGCGTGCGTCATGTTCAATAACGGCCTCGTCGTGAGACGAAAAGCACGCATCAATCTGAAACTTTTCCGTCGGAACACATTTTGACGATAGGGGTTAAACATTACTTCCTATCACTGTTAAGATCGCAAAGGATTTCTCCGTCAATTTAACAGTTGTTAGATTCGGGCAGCGGCGTCAGCAAGGGTTACGTCATCACTTGGCGATACTACGCAGCCGCCTGGGCTGGAGGAACTCAGCCGCGCCTGTCAGCTACACCAACAAATTGACATTGCGGCGCAGCCAGCCGACGTCGCATTCCACGCCTGTCGGGACACCATCAGGCCCATCGCCTCCTGCCCAGAGAGACACGACCGTCTGCATCAGCGACAGCAAACCCATCGGATCCGCGCAATCGCGCCCACCACCAGCAAACCGCACATGCGACCCTAAGCCCTCCCCACAACAACCCACACGACCACCGCAACCATGAACGGCTGGCTAGTCTTCATCATCATCCTGCTGCTCCTCCTCTCCTTCTCCTACTTCGGATGGTACTTCTACGCCCGATGGAACGCCTCCCGCAATGGCCTACCTCCACCCTCCATGAACCCAATGGTAGCCTTCAGCCGCTCCTCTGACGCTGGCGCAACCTCAAACTACCCTGGTCCCGCGCCCACCGGCATCAAAGGCTGGTTCGACACCCAAGTGCGCAAGTTCAAAAACAGAAACAACCGGTACACAACGGGTAGCGGCTACGAAGATGCCGGCTACAGCGGCGGGCGCGGCGTCGGCGGTGGCCGCGGCGCGGGAAGTCGTCTTGATCCTGATGAGGCGTGGAGTTCGCGCGTGGGCGACGAGGCATACTATGAAGAGCAGGAACTTGGGCTTCATGAACCGGCGTCTACCCATGGCGGGCAGACTGCGAATCCGTATGCGAATCCTACGCCGTATAACAATGTCGAGCCAAGTCGCGGACGCAGCCGCACACGCGATTCCTACGACGAACATCTCGATGCGCAGAGTGGGAGGAATCCGTTTGGCGACGATAATGCGGCGAGTCTGAGGGGTGTGAGTCCCAGGCCGGTGCTCGATGCGGATACGAGTTATCGGGGTGGTGCTACGGCCACCATGCCCAGTGTAAGCAAGCACAAGAAAGCGGGCAGTGTGGATAGTGTAGAGAACAGCCCGACGGAGAGTCGGAGGAGTGTGTTCAGGGAGGGGTTGTAAGGTGATGAAGAGTTTGGACGAGGATTTTCTGATACTATACCTATGTTGGGATTGGGCTGGTGTTTTTGAACTGGCGGGGTCTTACCCTCCGGATTGGACCTGAATGATATTTTGTTGTATTTCCACATTCGGCGAGCATTGTGTGACGTCGGATTGACTAACAGCACATAGGAGGCAAGCATCTGAACAAACCATTCGACAGCAAAGTCTAAATAGAAGTTACCCCTCGCACTTCTGGGTCGAGCACTGTTTATCCGGAACTTCACCCTAGACCAACATTACCTCCCTACGTTAGTCAAGATGGGCAACTGCCTACCTCGCAATGCAAAGAACAAGACCCCATCCAAACTCCTATCCCTTCCACGCGAACTCCGAAACACCACCCACGACAAGATCCCTCGTGACCTACAAATCGACTGGCTCTGGAACACCCAGGGGTACACTGATACCCGTTACGCTACCTTCGACGTCATCAAAGTGACATTCCACAACGCGCCTGAGCCCGGCGTCCTAGCAGAATGTACTCGTCTCCACAACGAGATGCTAGAACAAGACCAACTGCAAAAGAAGGCGCTATTCGTGTCCATTACTATCATGAACCGCGTGACAAAAATGCATTTCACAAGCTAGGTAAAAGTTCGGCAGGAGAACGAAATCACCACGCGCGCCCGCATCAAAACCGCGTTCCGTCACGTCCAACACGCCACATTCTGTATACGCCATCTTACCCTAAGTCCACACTGGGGCCCCAGCAGGACAACCAGGCTTCTCCGATGGACCTTTCTTGGCATGCCGAAATTACAGACTTTCCGCCTCGCCCTATGCAAGTCCTTTACTGTTCAGGATGAGATGCTTACCCATCAGCTCCTGCCACGCGATCCGCGGAATCACAAATTCACTTCTATCACTGCTTCGCATATGCTGTTGTTGCAGCGGGGTTGTGGGTTTCGTGTTGGGTTTGACTCGTGGAGGGCGGAGGAGGATGGTTGGCTGGGTTGGCGGTTTCGTCGGGTTCTGCGACATGATGTTTGTTTGGTGGAGGTGTATATGTATGCGAGGCAAGAGACAGGGAGGGAAAGTCTTCCGTATTGGACTGTGGAGGGCGTTGTGGAGTGTTTTCCTGTTGGAGCATATCCTGGGGCGGTGCTTGGGGATGTGAGTGGGGAAACGGCGGAGCGGCTGCGAGGGTATCAACTGGAGGTGGTAAATTGGTTTGAGCAGCGGAAAGTGACAGGAAGCAGAGACTGGGTTGCATGGTAGTGGATCATTGAACATACAATTTGTGTGACACATACAACGGAGGTAGATCATGTTGCAGAGATCACTAACTAATCGCGCGTAGTCTACAACGCATGCACTTCGCTTCTTCGACCACCTACGAAGACCTGGGATACGTCTTATCAAACGACGTATCTTCACCAACTACCACCCGGTACACCACCCGTGCATATTGGTCCGCCTGTTTCGCCTTGTCCCCCAACTTCGACTGCTCAAATGCCGATCGTGCATGTAGAAAGGCCTCCACTAGATGGTCCACTATATGACCCCACCTCGTGACTACGAAAGCTGAAGGCGTGCGATCGAGCCCAGTAAAGGTAAAGCCTAGGCTCTGGAGGATCTTACCCATCGATTCCAACCCCTTGGCAAGATCAGGCTGTTGCATGTAGATTCGGGTCAGCAGCAGCTGCGGGTCCCACAGTAGGAGTCGCGGAACGTCTTCGGCGGGTCGGACGTACGTCTCGTTCGATGCCTTAAGCGAGCGTTCGAATTTCTTCGTTAGGGCGTTTCCTGTCGACGATGATTTGCATAGTCGATTCATCTGGTCCAACAAGCTTCGCCGCTGCGTCACTACGGCCGATTTCGTGGCCTTGATGTCTTCGCACAACGCACAGTTGCAGACAAACCCCCAGCTCTCAAATTTCTGGCCAGGCTTCGAAGTGTAGACTCCATCGGGAGCCTCGTATGGGAACGACAGTTCTGTGCCGGCCTCTAGATATTCCGCTGCGCGCACGATCATCATATCTCCGATGAACGATCGGCGGACGTTACCGAGGCAGCTGTGATTGATGTATGAGGCCTTGATCCAGATACCGCAGGAATGAAATTCCTTTTCCTCCGAAGCCTTGTTGGCTTTGAGGTCTTTGTGGCTCTTGAGCGACGTGACAGGGCAGCCAAAGACGTTGAGAGACATTGTTCGTTCGACGAGGAAGCTTGAAGAGGATTGCGTCAGTCTGCAAAGTCGTTTGACTGCGGGGTTAGGGCGCACTTACGTATCTACTATCGGCTGTCCATCAACGAATTTCGCATCAACTGCTTCGTAGTCGCCGTGATGCAGGTCGGTGAAAGCAGAGGCCGTCGAGGCATTCTTGAACAGCTTTTGTGTGATCATCCGGAGGAGGTCAGCCTGGCCGCCCATGAAGCCTTTCATAGTCTCCACGTTCATCAAGAGTTTCATGCCTGCGTTGCTCCCCCCCTCTTCATCGACATGAGCATGGCTGAAAGCCTTCTCACACAGTAGCAAATCTCCTACCTGAACAGACTTGGTTACAAACAAGCCGCGACCTTTACCTTTGACTTTGCGAACTTGCAACGGGCCCACGTATGTAGCATGATCAAGATGGGGAGGTTGATACTTCTTTGCTTCGGCTTGGAGAAGCTTGAAATCGAATTCGCCGGTGCTAGACTCAGTGCATCGACGTTGGGCACGAGTAAGCGTAGCCGCTGCTTCTTTGTTGGCTGGGAAGATGTTGCAGAGCTGTTCGAGAACTTGGCGGCACTCGTCATAGCGAGCGAGGTGGTATAGTGCCTCCGCTGCGCGAAAGAGTGCTTTCTCCGAAGGTTCTTCACTGAAGGTCTGGAAGCCAGTGTCGGTGAACGCGGCGTCGTATTGCTTGGTTTTGAGGAATGCTAGTGACCTGTTTCGCTTGATGACTTTCTTCTCGTGAAGTGAGGTCGATTGTGTCAGAGCGGTCGTATATCTGGCATGAACGTTAGCGCAGTCACACGGACTTCGACCGTCGCACTCACTTATCGATAGCTTCCCAGAACTTCCCTTTCCCTAGGAGTATGTTCCCCTCAAGCTTCAAAGAATCCGCTGATCCTTCCAACTCCCGCAATCTCGGCCGCCATGACGAGGGTACTCTAGTATCCTCACTGGTGAGATATGCGATATCGGAAAGATGATCGACTCGCACACTGTAATCACCAGACGCCGTGAGCTTGAAGAACGGCTCCTTGATGATGAAAATCGAACCTTCGCCGACGATATCAGTTGCTGGGCGGATCGTCTCATCTTCCTGCTGGTATAGTTGCAACAGAGTGGCGTCCCCGCATGCATCCTCAGCCAGCACTAGAATCCCAGTCATACGATATGGCAAAGTGATTGCGCGCAACAGAAGATAGCGACCGCGATGGTGCGTCTCAAGCCTCAGATCATCAAGCGTGATAGACTTCAAGTCATCGAGAGAGGTGACGCAGGGTGGGTATGCTGGGGGAACGAACGACGCGTGTGCAGTTTGCTTTGTACTCCGAGCTGCCATGGACATCGACGCCATCATGAATTCTAACAGCATTGTGTCTCTGTCTTTGCGGTCGCGGGGGCGCTGGCCCTTCTTCTTCTGAGCATCTTGGAGAACGCGTTTATGCTGTTGTAGAGTCTGCATATACTGCGTGAGGTCCTTGCAAACATCCATTGCTACGGATAGTAGTCGAGAGAAGAGTGCCCGGTGGGGATGAAATGTTTGCGATGCCTGAGGGCTGGTTTTGACCAGGGATCGGGGTCCTGGAGAAGATGAACTTTTGAGTTCGCAATGGCTCTTGCGCAAAAGTATCGAATGGAATGCGGGAGTCGCAGGTAGCTCTTCAGTGTTGCGTTAATGGAGTACCGAGAGACCAAGAGGATGGCGGCCAAGGCATACTATTGAACGCCTTCTTCTCGCAGTCTACATGTTGCATCGACGCGCGCCTACGTGCAGGAGGTTTTATTGGCTAAGAGCGTAACACGTAGGTTTGTACCACGCCACGCATGCGAGCGTGGACAAACAAGGCTGTATGTGACACCAAGCGGAAGCATCGGCCCGCTGTGCAAGATGCACGATCGGCCCGGCACGCGTAGGAGTAGTTTGGCAGAATCATCCGATTGGACCATGGCGTGTGCAAATACTGGATTGCACACATCGTTCGTACGAACAGGTAGGGATGTCGATCATACTCCAGTCTCTAGCTGTCGTCCGGCCAATTGATGAACAAGCAGCGGGCAGGGCGACAACAGGGCTGGCAGGCAGGGCAGGAAAGTTAGTTCACAAGACGCTAGCGACCTTGTTAACGCTATGTAAATTAAGAGAGGTATAAGAAGCTAAGATAACGTAGGTGCATAGCGAGTAGCTAGCTTTTGCTAAGACTCTATTAAAACTCTACCTACCTTACAATACCTTAACGTAACAACGTATCATTAGACTAGAAAAATCTCAGATATAGCTTATAGTTATAGAGTCGCTAACAAGGTAGATAATAAAAACCTAGGCTAGAGAAATACTGCGATCCTTAACCTAAAAGCCGGTAGAGAAGCGAACGAGCTTGTCACTAAGACAGACCGGAGTACCTATAAAGCGGACAGACTGCAGCAGATAATGCTGAAGATTTGTAGAGAAGCTATAGCAGGTTAACACGAACGCGTATAGCAAAGGGAGGCACCAGTCTTGTTATGAATCAGAAAAGACAACAAAGTAGGTAGGTTTTGGAGGCTGCCCCAACAAGAGGCGTGACAAATCAGCCGCGCCTCAAGGCTGGCAAGCATGTAGCGTCTATTTAATAGCTAATCCAGTTGCGTGGCCCGTTGACCATTGAGTGATCCAAGAATGCGCTCCATCACTTTTGCCATCCCCAACAGCTTCATGTATCCCAGACGAATGCTAGCTTCCCGAGCTCTCAGTTGTTCCTCTCTCTCCTCCACCTCCTTGGTCATTTCTTCAAGAGCATGCCTTGCTGCGTCGTCCCCGCTACATTTCTCTTGGGCACTTCTCACGCTGCAGGTTTCGATCATGATTTTGTGACCATCGCTCCTCAGCCGAAACTCCACTGTCAGAGCCAAAATCCCGTGGCCCAGTCCTGGCTCCAAATCGACAGTTATGGTGTTCGGGGTGTCGACACGGTCTGCCAGATTTGTCCTTATTTTCCGGAATGCGTCGGTGCCGTGAGTATCGACCCCTTCAGGGTTAACAGTTAATTGATCTCGGTTAGGTCGTGTGAGTAACTTGTCCCAAGAGGTATGGTACAGGCCGGGTTGACAGTCCAAGTCCTCCAGCTCGGCAGCAGCCTCGTCGCTCCAGTCCCACAATCTGATTTGTATCCTGGAGAACAAATCGCAAAATCGAACGCTATACTCGAAGACCCTATCTCCACCATCTGTAGCGCCATTATGAACCTGCCCTATGTCGAGTCGCTGCATGTTTTCTTGTCGGGATTATCTGTTGCACGCAATGTGTTCAAGGCACAGCCATCTGTTGTAGTTCCAAGCCAAGAGTCTGTCCCAGCTATACTGACGTTTGTTTGGTAGACTAGAGACCACGCATTCTAGCTGTCTCAAAGGCCAAGCACCACGAACCACGCCTAGACTCTAGCATTACCATAGTGCAACTGCGAGTGGTACGTTACCCAAGCCTTAGCCAAGAACCCCCGTGGCATGGGAGGAGCAGTCTTCTCTGGAGTCGATCCTTGAGCAACAGTAAATGTGTGATGTTGTGGCCTGACCTCATGCGAGCCTAGGTCATGTCCCAACAACCGGCAGACAAATTATGAGGGGTAAGCTTGTAGCCCCACTTATGTGAACATCTCGGTTAGGGTCTTCGCGTCGAAGCAGGGAGTGAGCATGTTGCAACGTCGTTACTCGCCGTTCAAGTCCGGTCAGAATTGGCAGCCGGCTTGGCCGTACTCAATGCCGTACCTACTGCTAGTGTCAGGACTTTGTTAGGCTCCGTAGCAGTTTTCGGTCGCATCACCAGGCACACCAGGCTATGCAAACGTCGTGCGACAGTATCGAGATGTACAGCGAGAGGACTCCTGAGTAAAAGTTATCCCTCGCTCGATGGTCAAAGGCCCCCACAGGGCGCGACGATCCCTTGCTCTCGGGTCGATGATCGGCTTCCTCAGAACGCATCCGCTGTGCCTGTCGGACTTTATTTAACCAATTACGATCCAGCGTAACGGGATTATTACAAAAAGAATGTACAAGTAGTGTTCTACAAGCTTTCGAGTCAATACCTTGATAATCTGGCTGGGAATTTCGAAATTAATGTGGTTTAACGGCTTCCTTCCTCTTTCTAGCGCCCTTGAGTCCTCATCGTGATCCCACCTAGTTTACTCTCTCTCATAGATCAAGTAGAGATGAGATTTGTTGCAATAGATGCAGCTGTTTCGGCATCGCCGTGGAGGCGATGCTCTCTATGGATCCGTTGCTCGACGAGCATAAGACGATCCTGAGTCCACGCACCTACCCTCATATCCGGGTAGACGAGCCAAGTGTCAAGCAGCTCGGTGAGCATAGCTTTAGGTTGACTCAGTTCGCTTAACGTTTTGATCATGTTTCTAGACCGAGGCATATTGGTGTTCGTGCGGAGGTTGTAGTAGATGTTGTATGAGCAAGTATCCTGCCAAGGTCTCCTTTTATACAATTGCTGAGCGAGCTATGCAGAGGACTTGTCTTGTTATCGCTTGGAGAGATTTCTTCTAGAACGAACACCTCAGAATACGCAGGCTAGGCAAGAGGTCCCTTGGAGCAAAGAGGGATCTGCTTTCCTAAGATGATTGAGGCAGCTCCTGTACGAGGTCTATACTTGGAGCGGCAGGGTTCTTTCTAGCAATGAACAAGGTTGATCAGATATCGAAACTGCGTTGATGGTCGCATCTGACGTTCCCAAAATCATACACTCTTGTCGCAGTGAATCGCCACCTTCGCGTTTTATCTACCTCTACACCATCACGCCACTAGCTGGAAAACGAATACAGGCAGTTTTGGTATGCTTATCTCGGTTCATATGGTAACGCTTACCGACGCGCTAGCCAACTTCCCTAGGACCGAGCTGTGCATTTCGACATGTAGAGAGACACATGCGAGACGCACAAAAGAGTAATCACACCACCTGTGCTGACATGGCGCAACCTCGCGTGACAGAATGGGTACCAAATCAAGCTATGTAGCAACGTCCTAATCGGCCTCTCTGTTGAAGTATCTTAATACTAGAAATTAAACCACTCCTCACAACTGCATCGAAATCATCCCTAGTTTTGCGATGGCTAGCGACAATCTCTACGTCGTCAAGCGTACCCTGTTCGACCCGAGAGACCCGGCCGAACAATTCTTCCATGTCACCGTCCCCGCTACTTGCACCGACCTAAACGTCGCAAAGAAAGAAGCCAAGATGGCCCTCACCAGAGAAGGCTACGAAACCGACTTCTTCTCCGTGTACGACGTCAATAACGGCTGCGACGGGTGGAAGCATGGAGATGATGTGGTCGTCTATGCAGAAGGACAGGGCGGGGAGGTGCTCACAGTCACAATCGACACGATATCAAACACCCACGGACTGCGAGCTGGGCGCTCGGGAAGAGTTGAGCAACTGCCCTATCACATTCTGCAGACCGTCATAGAGTAAAATTGCCTATGCTTGGTTGTTAGGCTACAGCAATCCAACACACGCACTCTAGCTTAGCTAGTAAGAATGCATTGCCGATGCCTTTGATGGAAGATTTGCAGACAGAGGGATTCATTCTTGTTACAAGTACAATCGACCGGGAATGGGCGGCAAAGACGCGCAGGTCTGCGCAGCGAGAACGGACCAGCGAACACCTAGCAACAGGAAAGATTATCTAAGGGTAGATGCAAATGCCGTTTCCTGCAGTACTACGCAGATTCTATCCTGATAGGAGCCGTATTAGACATGGACATTAATTACACTCCTTGGCCTGCTAGCCATAGTGCTGAATCTTTGGAAGGCACTCACCTTTGACGCTGCCAAAGGTCAGTAGAATTATCACATCATAGTAATATTGTGTAACTTTGCAACCATCGCCTTATACACAAGAAATTACACTAAGATATGCGCTACTTCACTTTGTTCTTCCATCTTCCAGATAGGTACGGCTTGGAGGCTCCCCACCCTCCTCATTCCCTCTACCATCTTTGGTGCTTCGTGGCTCAGCAGTGTCGTGAGGCGACTGCGATCTGGAAACGTTTGTGCTCTTGAAACCCCATTCATCAGCAACTTGTTTCTCCCCCATAGCTAGGGATGAATGATGCCACATGCGCTTTTGCTGTTCTGCCGTGTGCGGTGACAGCCAAGGGGCTTTTCTGACTCTGCCTCCTATGATGTATGAGCGGAAGCCGCTTGTTATGAGCTTGATGTTTCTTCTACCTTCTTGCGAACAGTTGGCATCTTTTAAAATGGCTATGTTGCTGGGCCTATCTTTTAAAGTAAGGTCGAGAGTAGGTATCGAGCCGAGTCCTACTATATCTCGGCGGGCTCCAGTATATAGAAAGGCACCCGGAGAGGCCAAAGGGAGATTGTCTGAGCGAATTGCGTCCGTACCTTCCAAGCTGCTGTCGCGTATTTGTGTCATGCCAGTGCTAGGAGGTAGTGGTAAACTGGGCCAATATGCTTGAGGTATCGATTATTAGTCCTGGCGTTGCGAAGGATACTTCGTCAATCAAGTACCATCTTATAGCATCCTCCGTCGTCTGCCCGTTCTAGGATCATATTAAGTCAGGCTATGGCATGATGTCTTTTGTGCGGAAGTGTTCGAATCGGCGCTAGTCTATGGGGTGAGGTCACACCACGCCAGTGCGGAAGTGCGCATTACGGTCACTGCATGGCAATAGACCAGGTAGGTCCGCCGACAACACAGAACTGGAAATCGCCCACAATCTCGTCTACAGCCTGCATGTCGGGATCTCGAGATCTGCCACAAGCAAATATCTTGGGACAGCACTGCTTTAGAACAGTGTGAAAAGTATTGCAGAAAGGTGCACATCCAACCTAGCTAGTGATCAAGCGCGGGGGATATCGATGCGCCATAGTTGTGGTGCAGTAGCGTTGCGCGCGGCTGGTGCAGATCGCGCGACAGGACGGCCATCCCGGCTGATCTCTGGATGAGAGACGGCTAGACGCTTCGTCCTTTTGAGTTCCACAAGCCGCATTTTGCGCGCAAGGATGTCGCGACGCGCTCCGAAGTGAATGGTGAGTGTCGATTACAAGAAATCTCAGGCTGTTTGTCGCCTTGTATCGATGTGTCAAGAGATCCTGCCAATGCTTCTGGACTCAAACTGTCGTGCTCGAATAATACCTATGGTGGCGATGCGCCGGATGCCCCCGCTCCAATTCCGCCTGGGTACGTCTCGCTTCCTGATCGCGGGGTATGCCGTTTTTCTCGGTCCTTCCCCGTTGTGTTAGGGCCTAGCACTGGTGCCTTATCGACAAGGTATTGAAGTGCAGGAGGCTGACAGGAGTGCAAGCTGAGCTCTGCAAGAAAGGCATGCGGGGTAGAAATCAAAGTAGAGTGCACAAAGAGGGTCTGATGTGCACGGGGCTGGCAGGAACAATCTGACACATCCCCCCAATACTTCAGAACAACTGTAGCTAGTCGCTGCGGTGTTACCGAAGGCTTGATTTGACAAGCAATGTATCCAGTCCCTATCTGCCGCTACAGAGCCGACAGAAGAGAACGTCTGGATCGAAGGAGATCGAACTCATCTGTTCCCGTATACAAAATTATGGAGCGGGCTCACCTAGCCCTAGCTTGGCGTTTCGTAGTATGCAGGGCAAATGATGTCATTTAGGTAATGTGAAGGCGCTGACTGAACCATGCATGCCAAGGTATCGGGAAATGATGCCGATTGGACATAATTATGATGCCTCTTCGTCTTGTCGCTGTGAAGTGCTGGAAAAAATCCGAGTTTATGCTCAGGTAACGCTACAGTGACGACGCGCGGGAAAACGTACTGTCGTGAGCTCGTGGATTTTGCAGATAGGACCAGTGTCTTGCACGTATAGTCGTGACGCCCTTCCAGTATTCGATGAAGTGTCAGAGCGCCGGCGGTGGTCGCCGGTTTAGAAAGGGTCTCTTCTGCTGAGAACAGCGCATTGCGCTAGGCTTTGCACTTCGAGAGGAAGGACAAGCAATCCTAGATATCCGGCATTTTGCAGCTCAGATAAGCTTTGGAACAGTATGGACCGCAAAAACCTGCTCGAAGGATTGCGCGTACACTGTTTTCCCCGGAGAAACCACGTTCTGCATCTTGTCGATGGCTCCAGGGCTCCAGCTCCAGAGCTGTACGATGAATACTACACAGCCGCACTTTAGACCTAGGCCCAAAGCATATCTACACATAACCGCTGGGGCGCATGCAGTGAGGTACGAGGACAGAAATTTGCTGGGATGTCGGGCATGTCACGATACTGCGACGTTACAGGTCAATAGCAGCAACTGCTCATCGGCGATGCTAGACCTCTGGTCCAACGTTGGCGGTGCCGTTAACAGCCCACTATCTTTCGATTACCGTCGTCGTGGGCTGTTGCTGTAGGCTGTGAGTGGAGCCTAGAAGGCAGTAAGCGTACGCGAAAGCTGCCAGGTGGGTATATGAAGGCATCTCGACATAGACTAATGCATCGCAGGAGCACCACACGCAATACTTGTGCCATTCTTATCCGTTTCTACCTTCCTCTAGTGTGAAGCCCGCATCCTCGAGCTTGAACACGGCCACGTTACCTGTCCTTGGAGTCTACACCGTTGTTCAGCAACCGTGCGACTCGATACCATCACTGATTCACTTCACTGTGCTTCTCACAGTCAGATCACCATGTACTCAGATTTCTCTGCCAAACCTGTGGCCGCCGATGCTGATTACTCGCCCATCGACGATTCCTGTTACTGGCAAGACTCATTCGACCAAGCCTACCCTATCGGCTTGTACATTGCCCTGCCCGACCAATCGCTAGAAAACTTTCTTAATTCTGCCTATTCTGAACAATCTCACCCGTCCGTCGAATACCCCGCGGGCTGGGATTATTGCTTAGCGAACTACCCCAGACAGCCACTTGACGAATTCGGGCAAGGTTGCGCATCTAGTTTCGACGCAGTTTCCACGTTCGACCTGGACATGCCTAGCGCGTCCAACGCCGGACTTTACTCTGCTTCACCTCTCAGTACCGACAGCATCACAGCCCTTGCATCTCCATCCTTGTCCTGTTCGATATCCGAGCGCAAGACCTCGAGCGAAGCGACTTCGCCAGACAAGGAGTCGGCTCCACGACAAGCCCGGCGTAAACGCGGCCGTCCAACGCTCAACCGCAACCTTCCTGGCGCGAAGCCAGGCCCATCTATCAACACCTTCTCTTCAAAGCAAAGCCATGGTGCGCCACGTCAGCCGCACAATCAGGTTGAGCGCAAGTACCGCCAGGGGTTGAACTCGGATCTGGGGAGACTGAGACGCGCTGTTCCGACGTTGTCGCAGAGCGAAGAGGGCGCTGTAATCGGGCGGCCGAAGCCGAGCAAAGCGATGGTGCTGTCGTGCGCGGTCGAGTATATTGCAAAGATCGAGCTTGAGAGGGACAGGCTCCGAGAAGGAAACGAGCTGCTTGGCGGGACGATGTGGAGAAATTGAGTAGCAAGTGAACGACGAATCAAGATACAGCGATAGAACTCCGCTGTTGCCATAGTCACGCAGTGGACGGACGAGTCCTGCGCCTTCCCTTTTGTTTGTAGTTCCTGCGGCTTCCCTTGGCGTATTTGTATCCTCGGTGTTAATCAAGAGGCTCTCTTCCACCTGTCCCTTGCTTCTCTGGATTGACACGTCGCAAAGTTACTATGCAATGCTAATGCTGGCTCTGTGGTATAGTCTTAGTAAATTCATAAAGACTTCATCGATACCTTCTCGACACATCTTTGTCCACGTCTAACTTGTCTTGCCGCTCATCAATAGACGCAAAGCACATGCAAGGTTAGCTTATGTGCTATTAACAGCTGCAAAAGGGTTGGCAGACACGATGGGTCCTGAAAGTGCAGAAGGGTCGGTTTCTACAAGCGCGCAGGACAGAGTTTCACACAACAGAGCCTTCGTGACGCGAGCTGAAGTCGAAAATGAGGTCGTACAAGCTGAAAACATCGCATCTTTCCGCCTCAGAACCAGCTGGGAACAGTAGAAGCCTCTGACTCCGGTTCAATTAGTGCTTTTCGAAAAGCGAAGAAGGCACCGATGATGAGTAGCCGACAAGCAGTGGAGGTAAGGGAGAATGTTGCGTGAGACGGACACATCCTACTACGAAGCTGAGAACCCTTCTATAAACTCGCACATATGTTGATTGTCTCTTGTTCGGATGAATTCGGGTATGAACTGACATGATAGTTGTGTGATACCAACAACGTTGTCTCAATCTAGACAGAAACGCACTCGGAGCCCACTTTTCGCTGTTCAGACAGGCTATGCGCTTTCGATAAAGATCTCCTTCGCTTCGAGGGCCACTGCATCCCTCTTCGGCACCATGATCATCAATAGTCCCTCGCTAAGCCTTGCTTGGACGCTATCTATGTCTACAGCGGCTGCAAAACAAACGTTGCGCATGAAGACGCCAGTTGTACGCTCGTTGAGCCAAAACTTCATTATCGGCGCCACATGACTCCCCTGGCGTCCCCGCCTCTGACCTAGGATATTCTGCTTGGAGCTAACCTGCTCGTCGAACTTGTTTTCTGTGGCTCCGGCATGAGTGATTTGCTGATGAAGCTTGTCGTCGGATTTATCGTCGCACCACACCGCTTCTGGGTTTGTTTTGTGAATTGTCGCTTTGATCTGCAAAGTACTCTCATCTAGCCAGTGCGTTTCGATATCGCGCGGCCCGCCTATGCCTGGAAGTTCTATCTCGAGATAGTACATGTTGGTAGTTTCGCGTAGATCGGCTTTCGGAGAGGTTGCGTAATTATGCGATAGGTCTGGTCGAGATCTACGCGACCAGAGGCCGTTGTCAGAGCGAATTGAGGCAGAGTGGTGCAAAACATCGCTCCGATAGGACATATTTCGAGAGCGTTAAAGAAAGCTGGGCGATCTTGTTGGCCTTGATTGTATGTTGGTGTTGTTCCTTTTGTTTAATCTGTTAAGCAGTCGGCTGGTGAACTGGCAAGATATCAGGTGATGTACTGGAAACTATCAGTGCAAGAATGTATTAAATAGCTTAGTAACATGCCTGCTGATGCGTAAAACGTGATGTGGTGCGAGATCTTGCTGAACGCGAAGTGCTCTTCAACTTGAACGTACGTGAGAGAACATCCAAGGTGGACACATGTCAGGCCACTCTGAAGAGACTGAAACCCTGTAAAACATTTTTGGGCATACTAGAGCTAGAATGCCAAAGCTACATGAATAAACTACAGTACACAGGCAAGGTTTGCAAAAGCAGTACTGAGGATTGCGCAGTCAAGCCCTTGCTCAAAAACAGATAGTAAAAGGGAAGGTGGCGGTGAAATCCGTCGTTCCAAGGCCTGGCGTTAGGTCTCGATGTCAGCCCACTGTTGCTGGAAGGGTGGTTATTTTTGGCACGTCTGCATTCGCCTGCCGAGTTTCTTATCAGTGATCTCCAGCGCTTGGGTCTCCCGCTGGCAGGATGAGAGGTGTGGTGACGCTAAGAAAGAAAAGGAACCGGTGACACCCCGGTATTGTAAATACAGACAAGGTCGGCTGCCAGTCCGTCTGAACCGATGCAGACATGTTCCGTGCAGTCCTCCTTCCAAACATCCTCAATATGGTCGTTACGCCGAGCCTGACGGTAGATTCTCTGCATCCTTCAACGACCCGGTAGACGCGACAGCTCTAAGAGTTCTGGAAAGAATCAGGCAGGTCATGGAGCGTCTAGTAAGATATGTCATTTGTCTATCAGTCTCAACATGTGTAGACGACACACTTCCCTGAGATAACATTGTGCCCACATCGTCGGGCACAGTCTTGGAGTCGCAGCTCGCTACAACACTCAAGAAACGGCTGACCCAGAATCAGGATCCACTCGTCTTCTCTTTGACCATCGTCTGCCCTTCGAACTGGTATTCTCTTTTTTGTACTTGCTGATCTCGTTGTTCTCGTTCTGCAACATGTCGCGCTCCAGCGTGACCATCTCGATGTGATTGATGGCGGCGGCAATCACCATAGATTTACTTGGTTTTGGTTGGCTAGTGCCGTCCAGATCACCGCTCTGCAGCAGCGCTGGCACTGCTCTTCGCAGTCTCTCCAGCTGCGCTTTCAAGCCTTCACGGTACTTCCGCTCGACTATTTTGTGTGGTATGCTAGTGGTGCATTGGCCTTTCGTTGATGCGCCTGATGCGCTTTGTGCGATCGGATCGAGTTTGGGCTGGCCTGGTTTTCTTATCTGGCGCTTGGGTGTCGTCCCTACATCAGCAGAAATCTGTGAGGGAGACTCGCACTTTGGAGCGCAGAACGAAACATCTGATGACCTATCGCTGCAGGAAGAGGGCGTTGGTGTAGCCTGTCGTCGAGACACGTAATCAGGCGAAAGAGCCTGGATCGAGCTCGCATCCGCAGTGGCAAAGGCAGTTGTTGAGACCTCTGAGGACCTGGGTAAGAGTTCGTTCGGAAGGTCATAGCATGCAACAGCCTTGTCGAAAAAGGTGTCCGACAAAGCCCAGGAAGACTCGTCCAGCTGTGAGCAGGTGTCCACGAGGTGGGGGCTGCTCGGCTGTTCCAGATACAACTTGTTGCTGAATGTAGTGTCAAAAGTCGACTGGGAGGCGTAGAAGTTTGAGTTGCTCATCATGGAGAGAGCGTAGGTTGCTCACATGCGACATGATGCGTGGAGCCTTCATTTTCGGAGGGTCGCATCGAAGCAATCAATTTCTCCCACTTCGTCATACTGCGCATTTGCTCTCTCCGCACTCCTTGTCTTTGCATGCAATGAAAATGCTGCATAAAGTAAAGGACGCGTTTACGGCGAGTTAGGGACTTAGCGGCTCGGAACGTTTTGCCGAAAGGAAGGATCGGCGAACCTAGCGCCGCCCTAGGGCAAAATGTGTCCTCCAGAGTGGTACGGGCTTGCCTTCCGGCGGTGTGCAGGATACGCAATTGCATGACAACATGCAACCTCGAAGGATTTCAGAAAGAATAATGAGGAGATTGCCCGGCGCCTCCACATGTAGTCTGGAGCTGCATGCCACCAGTCACAACGACATGCGTGCTATACAATCGCAAATCTGCTCACCAACCACCATCTCCGGGTGTGCTCTCTTACACTGCAGTTACTAGCAGTGTACGGTGGCCAGTCAGTGATTAGTCTGTAATCATAACCCCTCCTCATTGTCGGCTGAGAGCTCCGAAGTGCATTCAAAGCAGGCAGACGATGGCTGCACATCGCTGTCGTGCGCACTGGGCGCACGAATTCTGTTCCATTCCCATGCACTCCATGCGCGCACTCAGTCACATACGTTACCGCCGCTTGATGTATGCTTATTCAGGTTTCTCTCGGAGGGTTTCTCTGACGATTACATAGCTTTTTTTGCGAAGAAAAAGAAAAAAGCAAAGGACAATCATCGATCAAAGAGAGAGTCTTACTTCTCGAATTTTGTTAGCCTTGGCAGTGCTCGTCCGAAGGAAAGTAGTAGTTTTGTCTTTCAAAATCGTTGGTACATGACCCCCGGATCCCTCTTCTGTACTCAAGAAGTTTAGCAACACCAACTCAGATGATCAAGTGTCAGGAGAGAGCTCGACTCCAATGCTCAGCGCCTCAGATTAGAGGAGAGATGGGTAGCTCCTTAGGGAAGATACGACTAGGGACAAGGATGCCATGGAGGTACAGAGTCTTTGCGTTCGAGTTGACCCGCTTGCCCCACTCGAGTAACACTAACCGCCTTTTACTTCTTGTTTGTCTACACAGTCCACCTCGAGCGTGACTGCGACGCCGAAACTATTAAATCCGTTGAATCTACATATACTAGCAGAGGAAAGACGACATACACACAGGAAGACCTCCATCAATACACGCGATACGCTCAAAATGAGGTTCGCGTTGAATAAACCACTATGCCTTTTCACGACTTTCGTGGCACGACATCCCTGAAATCTATTCCGAGATCCCGATAACTTGTCTCATGGTTAGAGTCTGGGTACGTGATAGTAATAAGCTTTTTCAAGAAGTCATTGCGCTCTTTATCTGCAGCTCTCTGCTCTGATGTCAAAAGCGCCGAAGTGGAGACATGGTAGTCGTATGCGCCTTTAACAGCGACGACATCCCACTTGTTCTGCCAGTCCTCAGGAACCTCGGGCGAGTTCGGGCCACCAAAGACAGTAGCAGTAGGAAGAAACTGGCCTTTGTATGCCGGGCTGCGGGGCTGCAGTTTTATAGTACCGCGATGGGCCTCTGCGCGCAAGTAACACATGTTGCCGACGCGACTGATGATGTGATGGAGGACGTTCCATATTTGCGGTTTCTTGTCTGCTGAAGACAAGACTGCAGATGCCATTGCGATGTCTCGAATAGATTTAAGACTGACTTTGGATCCAGGAATCAAGCCAGGATTTAAGGCCCCAAAGTCCCGCAACCAGGCTTTGATGACATGGATTATTTTGTTGAAAATGATATCCAGGGTTATAATATCAAACTGAGAAGATATTCGTCCTCCTTCATTGCGTCTCGATAAGTCTAAAACGTCTGGAGAGGACTGAGCTCTTCTTTTCGACGCTTGCTTTGCTTTGACGTCTTCGATACAGTTTCCAGCCGATGTCGGACTACGCGCTCCAGAAACCAGATCGGCTCGTTCTTATCGAGTTTGAGTAAACCAACGCATACCCCAACATGCTATATGCCCAGCCATGTAGACATCCGTATATTAGTCTCCCAAGATTATACCAGTAATACCACTTATATCACCGCGTCCTCTATAACCAAAACACTCAACAAGCTTACCGCTCCTAAACCCCCATTCGTCAGCTCACTCCATCTACATCCTGCCCAATCCCACAAACCTGTCTTTCAGACGCGCACTCACCAATTCAATCACACCCTCTCTTTGGGTCGTCGTTGTACCCGGGAGGATAAACACATTCCCCATCTATACACTTGCCGCAAGAGCACACAATATACGATTCCCAAAATCCTTCATTGGTGCAGTATGAAAGGGTGTAGTCGTCCTCTCTGCTGCAGCGATCTGGTTCACCGGGAGAGCACTTGCGGCCACGTGCGTCGCTGGCGAGAGCGGGGGGTATGACGGTGAAGAGAGTGAGGAGGACGAGGATGAGGGGAGTGGATGACTTCATGGGTGCTAGATGACCTCACCGACTCCACAGCTATCACTTTTGACCGCCTTCCTCTACAGAAGCAGTTTTATCGTATCAGCCGTCACTATGCCACAACATGCTGGTACTATCGTCTTCTGGTCAGCGGATGTCCTATAGAGGAAGTTTTGACACCCACCAGATCTCTGCCTAGCAGTCATCGATCGTCCAATGCAGTCGCAGGTAAGAAAATAGAGGAAGACAGAGCTAAAAGTCCAACAATATAGGACTTGCGCGACAGTAGTTACTAATTGTGCGTACATAAAGCTACGAGAAGCTAGTAGTAAGTTTTGTGTCGTCAGTGGCATAACAACGCGATGCAAGTTTACTCGGCTGTTGTACATGAGGCAGGTGCGTTCGACCAGACCAACATCCTCATACCTAGACGAGCCTTCTTGGAAGTACACTTATCTACTGATACTGAGCAGCTGAATTGTAAGGAAGAAAATGACTGATTCGAGGCCTACTTCATTCGCGATCATATGAACAGTCGAAGTTATCGAGGCGGGCCTTGGGAGCCCTTGAACCGAAAGCAACTGTCATGTTCCCAACACTAGGGACATCTAAAGTGGTTCTCAAGACGAGATTCTAGGTGCTGGTCTCCGAAAGGACTTCAGTTTACCGGCCTCGTTCAAATTTCATCGAGTGTCGGGCGTATTATGGAAGCTAAGGACACATGTGCAGGCAATTGTCATTAGTGACATTGACATACAGATCACAACGATCCTGTCATGTAGAGCCGAATGCTCGATATTCTGATTCTCTGTGCATGGCCGCGCTCGTCGAGAAATCATTGTTGTTGTTGCTCAGTGATGTGTAACTCGAGTTCGAGTCGTCCTTCCCCAACGCACTAGCTCCTCTTGGCGAACAAGGGTCTTCCCGCGCATCGCGAATTTCCAGTCCGACCATCATCACCAACACCAACAAGCCACCTCCGCCTTGCCCCCGCCATTGCGCCTCACACAACATCCACAATGAACCTCTCAGCATTTCGACCGGTGTTCCGGCCCTACAAACCCACCCAAATCTCACAATCCATAAACATCTGGCAAAGAACCGCACAATGGACATGCCCGCAGCAGCAGCAAAAGTCGCAACAATCAGCCTTCTCATCGACACCGAATATGCAGAAGAGGAGTAAAAAGGGACCGGGAAATGATCCTAGGATAAGTACGTCTCCCCCCCTCCCTATATCCCCATCAACGCTCCCTCGTGTAACCCAATCCACCCACCCTCCCATCACCACAACAGCGTCGCTAACACCCCCCACAGCAAACATCCGCTACCACCTCTCCCACCCCCTAACCCCGCGCCCCCTCCACTTCTCCCGCAACCGCTCCCTCCGGCACTGGACAATCCATCGCGCATGGCTGCTCTTCCTGCGCAAGCGTCGCTGGGCTGAAGAACGCGAGTTGGAACGACAATACATGGCCATGCGGTCAGCGTGCGAACACCTGCGCCTCATGGACAACAACGGCAATCTTGTCAAAGAGGAGGAGGCTGGTGGGCGGGGCGCGGATCCGAGTCGTTTGGGAACGAAGGGCAGGGAGGTGGGCAGGTTGTATCGTAGTGCGATGCTCAAGAGGGGGATTTGGGGGAGTGTGCCGGTGGAGTATGGGAGGGTTCAAACGGATTTTCCGGCGAGGGATGGGTGGAATCATGCGTGGACGAGGGATTAGAGATTCGGTTTGGGATGAATGTGTTGGGTCGGGGTGCAGCGATGGGGAGTCGTGTGTATCATATGTGTATAGCAAAAAGGCGGTCGATGTCGTTATTGGCATCACGTGTACATTATTGCGTTACGTTTCTCAGAGATGACAAAAGGATGCATGTAATGTCTCGTGGAAGATTACTGCCTTCTAGCTACTGAGCGTGCCGGTCATTGCCCAAGAATATACAACTAATTGCCAAAGGAGCCGAATGAGTGGATGATGATGGCGCTTTCTCGTCAATCATTAAGCCAACATCTTCGAGTAGATAGCTAGAGCCCGACTAACGTATGTTTCCTCCTCGCTCTGAACTCGGCATCAGAAGCCAGTCTTTTCTCTTTCCAGCTCAATCAAAAACAAAAAAAGTTGTGTGTAATGCAGTTATAAGCGCTCAAACAGCAAATCGCCCATACAGAAGAAAGGAAGAAGAAGAATCGAAAATTGAAGGCCCCAAATATATCGTACCAACTCCAGTTTGTCGTGACTCCGCCCAATGCAGTTGTGTGATATGAAGATAAGAAGAAGATGTAAGATGCAGGGAAACTCCTCTTCGAAGTCTCATAGAACAACGCATCCACACCCTGGATTCTCCTTCTTATCCACACTCAGCAGCGCCGCCCTGGTCGCCGCTTCGAAAACATCATCCACGCCATCCCCTGTCAGGGAACTACATTCGAGGTATTTCCTCGCGCCAATCATATCCTTCATGTCGGCGCCTTGTTTCGGTGTAGTAAACCTCAAGCTCTTCTTGCGCATTTCTTCCTGTGCGAGAGGGTCATCGCGGAGATCTTTTTTCAGGCCGACGAGGATGATGGGGACGGTGGGACAGCGTTCGCGGGCCTCCTCTGCCCACTTGTGCTTGACGTTATCGAGAGAGTCGGGGGAGTCGACGCTGAAGCCGATTAGGATGACGTGCGCTTTGGAGTAGGCGAGGGGACGGAGGCGCTCGTAGTCTTCTTGGCCGGCTGTATCCCATAGCGCGAGTTGCACGGACTTGCCGTCCACTCTACAGTCGGTGACGTAGTTTTCGAAGACGGTTGGGACGTAGCGCTATGACAGGTTAGGATATTGGGGACGGCCTATCGGTCGATGTATTGGACGTACTGTTGGAAAATATCCGAGAGTGAAGACGCTCAGAAGACTAGTCTTGCCGCAAGCACCGTCGCCAATAATGACCAACTTCCTAAAGGCACAAGATCAGCATGTTGTGTGGGTGAAGGGTGCATGGTGTGACAGCGTCGGCGTGACCGAGAGTGGATGTCGGCGCAAACAAGAGGATGAAGTGCAGTGCATGACCGAAAAGAGGAAGAATTGAGCGCGAGTCGATAAAAAGTGGACATGGGGGACATGTAGGGTGGCCTATTTTTAGTCGGTCGTGTCGTTGGACCGGGTGCGCCAATGCAAGCTATGGCGCAAAACCGGGGTGTCTCAGCTCCAGGTCTTGATCGTACCATTGGGAAGGGAGAGGTGCAGTGAGATCTTTTGACAGTGAAATTGCTGGAAAATGCAGAATTCATGTCGTCAAAGTAGAGTCGGACGGAAGGAAATAACGTTGGGAAAAGCAATTGCGCGCGTAAGAAAACGGTCGTGAGAGATCGACATGAGATAAGTTTTGACCAGGGTCCAGAAAGTGAAGATCAAACGTACCTGCGCATTACAGGCTCGCCATTCTGCTGCTGCTGGGCCATTGTGGGGGTGTGTTTGGGGAAATGCCGCACTCAGCGGGAGTCTTGTCCGGAGATGCTGGGTCGGGTTATTGGCCGATGGAGCGCGTTCGCGGTTGCGGTCGTGGGAGAGAGGTGGTGCGCAGGCGGAAGGATACAGCGAAGTAGCCTTGTGTGCGCGAGGGTGTTGTCGGGGTAATGCGAGTGTAATGGCGCGACGACGTGATCTCGGGCCCAACAATGGTGATTGGCGATGTTATGGCTCGCGACGAGCGAGATGTCAATGGCGCGCCGGGGCGGAGACAAGCAACAGACTACCAGCGGAGGGATGGTGAGTGTCGGTGGAGTGAGTGTCGGCGGGTGGGTGTCGAGGTGAAGGCGAAAGCAACGGGTGTGGCCTGCGACAGCAACGGGTGCAATGGGAGAGTAGCAAAAAGCGGTGGTGCAGTAATGAAGTGGACGGGCCGGTGTTTAAGAATGAAGCTTGGGGGACGATCGCAGCGGAGACGAGCACGAGCTAAAGCCACAGACGGCTGGGCTGGGGGACGGGGGACGCTGGCGTGTTAAGGGTGCGGTGTGCGAGAGCGAGTGTGTTGAGATACGAATGAATGGCCGTCGCGGAGCACTTGCACAGCCTCTCGCCCAGTTCCTTCCGTTCCAGAAGACGCCAAGACGTGGCACCTGCGGCAGTGCGAATCGCAACGTCGGTACCACAATGGGCCGTCGACCATCAACAAGAGGCTACGACAGCGCGGCATGTGCTAGCAGCCCG